GCGTCTGTCCATGCGTGCACGAGCTGCGACGCCATTTTGAGTGTGTGGTGATGCAAACTTGGCTGCGCGTTGGGGGTGATATCTCTGGCGCTGACCAGCGGAGACACCAAATCTGGAACCGGGTTCGAATCTGGTACGACTTGCGTTTGAAGATCGCGCTCGTGCGGCCGAGATGTGCACCAAACGACCTCGGCCATCGCCGCTTGCGTCCAGGCGCGGACCATGCGACCGGCCGTGATCGAGATCACTACCGTGTGGTCAAAGGCTTCTTCGGGCGTCTCGAGCGGTGCTTGGAGCAAAGAAGCGGCGCTCGCCGTCTCATGGCTCGTCGTGATACTCGCCTCGGCACTTTGAACGGGGCGGGGACTGGAGACACCTTGTGATGACGCGCTCAAATGACCAACTTCGCTTGGCGCATCGTCGAAGATGCTTGCGTCCTCGAGATCGCTCGGTCGGGCGTCTGCGTCGCCAGTGGTTGCCGACGCCATCGCATCATCAAAGGCAGCTTCCAGGTCTAAATCGTCCAGAGCATCGATCTTCGGGGCAGACGGGCGCCGTGTCGCTTCACTCGTCAGATCAACCGTGTTCTTTGACGCGGTGGATGCATAATCCTCCGAGGTAGCGTCCTCGCTTGCGCTTGCGTCAACGCCATTTTCTAACGCCGTAATCATGTCGTCGCAGACACCGCAGACGATCGACGCCGAGAGCGCGCTGCTCGTATCGTCGGCCACGCTTGCAGCGGCGTGGGACACCCACGCCAGTGTCAACTGCTTGGCCAATAGCGCCATGGCCACGCTCTCGTCCGTCGCCATGCTCGTCGCTGCGTCGCCGTCCTTGGCCTCGGCTGCGAGTACCGTCATCGTAGCCAGTGGAACGTCGTCCGTGTCTTTCGATTCGTGACGCACGGGCGACCTCGGTACCTCGTGAAACAGCTTTGCAAAGATACCGTCTTTGGCGATCGATGCAACGATATCCGGGGGTAAAAGAGTACTCGGTGGCGGGGCAAACGACCGCCGCAAGGCCTCGTTGGCCGCCGTCACCATCGCGTCGTCCAGCGCTGAGCTCACAATCGCCGTCGCTATCAGCACCTCCCGCGCTACGTCGTCGCGCGTGACCAAGACGGGCTCCTCCGCGGCGCTCACAGCAGAGTTGGCTGCTGTATCGTTGACAGAACGGGTGGCAAGCTTGGGCTCCTTGCGTGGCGTGGCCTTGCGAGGAGTCGGCGTCTGCCGGGGCGACGGCACCGGTGATCGCCACGCTTCCTTCCGCGGCGAGCGCGTTGTTGGGGAATGGGCTGGTCGCGGTGACGTCGGTGCTGTTTGGAGGAGGCGCGGCTCGAGGGGCAGTCGCGGCACATCGAGGCTCGCCGCTGACGCTTGCGTCCTGAGTTTTTCCGTCCCGATTCCTTGCGCCGGCTTGCTTGGCGATTTGATGACTAGACACATGGTCGTCTTCGATGCCAACACATTAGATAGCAACGTACGACTGCTCGGCATTGGTCGCACGCGGCTTTTGGTCGGTGATTTCGTCGGTGACGACGACTGGGGTGGCAGCCGCGCGGGCGGCCGGGGCTTGACCGCTGCCTCCTTTGACGGCGACGGCGCAACAGCCACAGACGTTTTGAGAGGCTTGGCAAACCCGTACGCAGACGTGAGGAGGTTTCCGCGCACGGCGCGGTCGGCGACTTCTGCTTGCGCCAGCGCGCGCTCCTTGTCCTTTTCGCCAATGCTCGGCATCGGATCGTACACGACGCCGTCCTTGGGCTCCTTCTTGGGACTGGTCATGACGCGGAGCTTGGTCGTTCGAGTGACTTCTACACGAGTTGGCTGTGAGCCAGTGCAATAGGCTGTTGGAAATCCTACTTTGTGGCGAGTAGGTGCGGACGCGCTTGACCGGGGACCGCGCGAGCTGCTGGCACACAATGCCCGAGTACTTGAGCACACCTTGTCGCATCTTTAGCGATTTCAACAGGTATCTCCGCTCATACTTGCATCGGCCGCAAACTGCACCATGGCGTGCGACACAGTCGAGAGCGCGCGGAGCTCGTCGAGGACGTCGGTGACTGTGCGGTCCATCGACATGAAGCTAGCTCGAGGCGTCAGACAACCAAATATGCTGTCGACATACCAGAGCAGGGCCGTCGTAACCGCAACCGAGACCCGCTTGGACGCTTCCACGTTGACGCTCGCCTGCAAGAGCTGCACAAGGCTCTGCAGAACAGGCCAGTTCTCGTCTGCACCGGTCGCTTGGCCGCTGAGGATCGTGCCAATGACGTCTTTGCCTCGGGCTTGGCAAATAGCGACGAGGACTAAAAGATGCCCATCAAGACGCTGTCGATGACAGCAAAGCGGCAGACTCGCGCAGGTGTAGATGACGGCTTGGTCGGCCGTCTTGTCATTGCGCTGGACGATCGGGCGCACGAGAACGGGAAGAAGCCCGAGCCCGAGGACGATGTCAATGCTGCTGTCGTCGTGCTGCACGAGCGGCGCGAGGGCCCCCGCCGCCGCCGACTAGCGTCTCTGAGCGTCGTACGATGGAATGAGAACGCCAAGTACCTGAAGAATCACGTCGTCCGGGAAGCGTCGCAGCCCGTTGGCGAGCAGCTCGATCGCACCGTTCTCGATCAGCACCCGATGGCTCTCGTCGCACGCGCAAGCCAGCTTGCGAATGAGCACAAAACCGTACGACTGGATGACGGGCACGGACGCCTTGACGCGCAGCATCGAAAGAATCGTGAGTTCGCCCAAGTGGCGGTGCATCTCGTGCGCGCCGTCACGGGTCCGAACGAGCTTGAGGAGCACGGCAAACGCCTTCTTCTACAGCAAGGCAATGAGTGCGTGGATCAGCGTCTGGCAGTTGACGTACGACAAAGAGCGCCGAGACGTTGTCGGCGAAGAGTGCGTTGAGGATCGAGACGACGTCGTGCAGGTCATCGACGTCGTTTCCGTCGGTGCTCGGCGACTGCGGGGGCTGGAGGCGCGGCGTAATGCTCTGAAGCACCGCGAGTTCGTTGCTAGCACCCTCCATCTCGCTCCATCGAGAGTACACTGTGAAGAAGAGGAGTTTCGACCTAAATCAGATGCGCGCTCGAGTTATAAATATAGTTCTCATGAGGGTAGGGTTGCCGACTAACATACAAAGCGTGGCACGCGACCGATACGACCAACATACAAAAGACCGATAGCAAAGGACGGCGTCGACCATGCGATGTCGAAGGCGTACTTGCCTCACGCGGTCGGCTTCACCGGTAACTGCGCGGAGTACATATCTCAAGTAGATGCAGAACTAAAGCCAATCGCTCTCAAAAGCTTGCATGGCTCGCTCTTTTGTGCTGTGCATGCTGTGCAGGGCTGGCACGAGTCGGCGCAAGGCTCTGTCGGCGGCTGCAGAGAGGATCAAGTGCAATCTCGTGCCTCTTACACCGGTAGTGCTGCGCCCTAATGGCATTTCTCGGCGCTGTCTCAGTGTCGCCGTCGTGCTCGACATTGCGGTGCGACTGTCCCAGTCCATTTCGACACACTCGAGCTTGAGCTGTTGCGGCGGAAGGGGCGTCTTTCTCACGTGAAATAGTGTGTGTACACCAATTCCATTTTCCCGTTTTAAAAAAGCACTTGGGATTTTGTAGGCAATACAAAAACGTGTCGTTTTCCCCCGCCAATCAGAAACGCGGAGCGCGCGTTGTGTGTCAAAACAAGTCAGTCGATTGGGGCGGCGATTTGATTGATGGAAGCGAGGGTTACATATCCAAAGTCAATTGGCCCGAGCGACTCCCACTGCTCGCTGCGTCAGGGACGGCGCCACCTACTTCCTGTACCATAGCCCGCTAGCACACTATATATAAGCCGCGCCGTGGCCACGTTAGCTTGAGATGCACACCACCCACCCCCGCTCGTCGTCCCGCCCGCCGTCGCCGCCCGCGATGGCCTCGCTCTTCTACAACGAACTCGACTTCCTCGGCCGGTGCGCACGCGTCGCATGGACCACGTCGCTAACGGTTGCGACTAGGAGCTACGACGGTGCCATGCCCCGTTTGCACGAGCCGGTACGTCACGCGCGTGCGAGGACCAACGATCGATGTGTGTGCAATAGGAGCCGACGCCGCCGCCGCCGCGACGCGCCTACTATGAAGAGCCGCCGCGAAGTCTGCCCAAGCCACGCAAGAGCAGCATCGAGATGTTTCTCTCGCAGAGTCCGTCGCAGCACCTTGGCAACGATTTCCTGCGCCTTGGCCTTGACGAACCGCCGCAGTTTTACCTCAACCCCGAGCTCGCAACGTTTGGCCCGCCGACGAGCGCCGAGACGACGACGACGACGGATCCGTGGTACCACGAGCGATCGTCGTATGCGCCCGAGCCGGCGCCCATGTACACGGCGTCGTACGCGCCGACGTCGGCGCCGTCAATGCGATCGCAGCAGTGGTCGCGACCGTCGCCGCCGCTCCCAACCTACCCATCGTCGTCGTCGTCCTTTCGGCAAAGCGCGCCCCGGTCCGCGCCGCGCTCGTTCCCGCTCGGGAACCGGACCGCGGGGCTCTTTGACTCGCTCAAGTCGCCGCTCAAGCCGTGCAAGTTTTATGCCCAAGGCCACTGCCGCATGGGCACCAAATGCAAATTTGCGCACCAGCTGCCGACCGCGCCGTCGTCCACCGCGTCGTCGGCCGCGTCGTTTGAGGACGAGTACGCGTCCTACCCGAGCTTTCGGCCGACGCACCACGCGTCGACGAGCAGCCTGGACGCGGCGTCGCTGCCCGAGCTCTCGCCGAACGTGGCGCTCACGGTCGACGACCTTGCAGGCCGCGTGTACGCCATGGTACGCCTTTTTTTCTAACGGCTCATCACTATATCCTTGCTGCGTTTAGTCGAAGGACCAGAATGGCTGTCGGCTTCTCCAAGAGCAGCTCGACGGCCGGTCGGACCTCTGCGATGTGATTTACGCCGAGGCCGTGCCGCACCTCGTCGATATGATGGTCGATCCGTTTGGCAACTACCTCTTCCAGAAGCTGCTCGAGCGCGTGAGCGATGGCCAGCGGCTCGTGATTGTGCAGCACGTGGCGTCGCACCTCGTGGCCGCGGCGCTCAACTTGCACGGAACGCGGTCGGTGCAAAAGGTGGTCGAAGTCTGTGCGACCGACCGCGCGCTCGCGTCGCTCATCGTGTCGGCGCTCGACGACGACGCGGTGCGTCTCTGCATCGACTCGAACGGCAACCACGTGATCCAGCGCGCGCTGCAGTTTTTACCGGCCGAGTTTAACCAGTTTGTATTTGACGCGGTCGCGGCCGACTGCACGGTCGTTGGGACGCACCGCCACGGCTGCTGCGTGCTCCAGCGCTGCGTCGACGCGGCCAACGAGAGCCAGAAGCGCGCAGTGATTGCCCAAGTCGAGCGCCACGCGATGAAGCTCATGCAAGACCCGTATGGCAACTACGTGGTCCAGTACGTCCTCGACGCGTGCCCGAGCGACGAGACGGTCGGCGTCATGGCCAAATGCGTCGGCCACCTCTTTGAGCTCTCGGTCCAGAAATTTTCGTCCAACGTCGTGGAGAAGTGCCTCGAGTTGGCGCCGTACGAGCTGCGCCAGACGTTTGTCAAGGAGCTCATTGCGTCGCCGCGTATGCAGCGCATGCTCCAGGACCAGTTTGCCAACTATGTGGTCCAGCGCGCGCTCTCGGTGGCCTCGGACGAGCACTGCCTCGCGCTCGTGCACGCGATCGCGCCGCACTTGCCGTCGATGAAGAACACGTCGGGCGGCCGCCGCATCCAGGCCCGGATCCTCAAACGCTTCCCGCACATGGTCGAGATGGTGATGCTTGGCGAGACCATGCCGCTCGAGACGCCGCCGCCGCTCTATGGCCGCGTCGCGTAGCGTCTTTGTATGTACTCTTAGCCGCCACACTAGTTCCAACATCCTGTATCATTAATACCCGACGTACTTCTGTGTCGTTCACGCTCGTCGTAGAATACGCGTCCTCCACTTGCAGGAAGCGGGGCATGATGAGCTGGCGCTGCTGATGGTACTGGGCACACACGGGTCGGATCGTGTGTCCGCAGTCCGCCCTCTACAACCACGACGTGTAATAGGTGTCGTCGTTCTTGGGACCGCGCTACTGCTGTCGTTGCATGCCACGTCGGCGTCGCGTTGGTATTACGCCCACCGTTGCTACCTCGTGTAGCAGGCTCGTCTCCCAGCGAGGACCGTGCATGGCGCCGCTATGGCCTCTTCCGGCAGTCTCTTCCAGTAGCCTCTTCCGGTAGCCTCTTCCGGCACCGCATCCGCGTCCGGCCTTGCGACCGCACCCCGTCCCATGCGCATCGACCTCGGCTCCGTGTCAATGAGTTTCCAACAGGTGTGTTTTAAACACATTGGCGGCCGGCTGTTTTCAAACGTGCGTGAGTAACGGGCGTCGATGTCACACATTCTCAGTCGAAGGCGCGTGGTTCGACGCAATACAATAGACGCCGTATACAAATTGCAAGTGAAAATAAAATAAACGGGGACGTGCCCCCTCCAAAACTTCGCCACGTGGTGCGGTTGCAACTGGCCCCTTCTTCGAATCCGTTCGCATCGCCGCTGCATTTTTAATTGTGTTTATTGTATTAGCTTGCCGTTTGTATTGAACAGCGACACGGGTGCATATTAATAAAAGACAGTGTATGCGAGTTTGCATTTTAATACACTGGCTGGCTACTACGGCGATAGGTGTAATCGTGAGACTCCTCATCTCTTGGACTGCCGCGGGTACAGCGGAAGGACGACGACGTAGCCCGCCGACGCCGACGACGCCCGAACCAACCCCGCCACGCCGCCGGCGACCTCTGCCGACCCGGACCGAATCACATACGTCTACTTCCGCCACGATGGCCAACGACATGGAGTCGCTTCACTTGCCCCGCCTCGACCTTGGCATCTTCAAGAGCAGCTGCCGGTACCTCGAGCGCATTGGCAAGCCGTCGATTCCGTTCCAGCCGCCAACGTGGGCCCTCCCGGCGTCGCGCAAGCCTGCGTCGGTCGCACTCATCGATGTCTTCAAGCTCAACGAAGTCATTGCCAGCGTCAGCGTCGACACCAAGTCGTACTTTGTGTTTGGCCGCAACGCGCTCGTCTGCGACATCGTCTTGGAGCATTGCTCTATCTCCCGGTACGCTCGCGACTGCACGATACGATGCTGGTGCTGACGTGGATGCATGTATTAGCATGCACGCCTGCTTGGTGCACCACAGTGACGGCTCCGCCTACATTGTCGACTTGGGCTCGTGCCACGGCACGTTCATGGACGCCGAGAAGCTCGAGCCGCTTCGACCGACCCTCATCACGCACGGCGCCCAACTACGGTACGATACCCACGCCGCTCCCAGCGCGACATGAAGTGAACCATGCCTTGGTCTGTAGGTTCGGCGTCTCGTCCCGCTCGTACCGGTTCAAGGTACACAGCTTGGTTGCAGCCGTCGGCTCATGGCGTCCTCCTTCCTAGACGTTTGAATCCCGCGAGCAGATTCTGCGCCGCCTCCACGCCACCGTCGGGTTGCACGACGACGAGCGCCTCCTGCAGACAAATACGCTATTGAACCGCTTTGTGTCGTACCGACTCGACGTGCACGCCCAAGCGCACCAGTCGGTCGTGCATCCCCACAGTAGGCCTCCCGCGCTACGAACCGTGACCTCACGTGCTCGTGCAGAGGCCGCGAACCGCGTGGCTTCCAACTCGACCGACACGAACGAAGACCCGTCGCAGGTCGACGACGAGCCGTCGTCGTCGTCGTCGTCGACGTCGTCGCACCGCCACTCTGCTGAAAATCTCGACTCGTTTGCGATGGTCGACATTGCCGAAGAGCCATTCCAGGCACCGCCGCTTGCGTCAAGGAAGCGCACGCGGCCGCTCTCGGCAACCGACCGGACCCACCAAGTGTTTTTGACGTTCGATATGAAGCGCGTCCGGTTCGTGGTTGACCCGCCGACGATCATTCCGCCGCCGCCGGCGGATGATGAAGCGTACGATCAGCACGCTCGGAGCCACCTCGTCCCCAATGAGCCTGATGATGTAGCGATGGAGTGTGACGACGAGGATGCGTATGCGGCGGCCGTCCCGCCGCTTCTGAACTATGGCCCGATGGGCGACACGCCCATGGACGAGTACATGATGGAGAACCCGTTCGCGACTGTGGCGCCGGACTCGGGCCGCTGTGCGATGCCGCTGAGCCTTCAGTTCCCGCTCTGCAGCGACCGCCCGTCCCTCGACTTTGGCCGGCGACGATCGACGATCGGCTAAGACGACGTGTAATATTATATTTCTGTGTTCGGCGCTTGGTGGAGGAGTGACGCCAGCCGCTGACGACCGACACCAGCTCACTCGATTCGATGCATACAGTGTATGTTGTGCTGCATCATACGCTGTCTGGAGGCAGCGTGCCAGCCAAGAGCCATGTCCTTCCAAGAAAGACGCGTTGCGGGAAGGGAGTCGCGGGACGAGACGGCGACGCCAATGTCGCGTCGCCCACCCGTCTACGATCGCATCTGGTTTGGCGCCACACCGGTCGACAGCGTTGGTTTCACGCACGTGGACTCACTCTCTTTGCATGTGCTCTCCTCGACGCACTCTCTACCCTCTTTGGCCCGACGCGGATATCCTTGGCACCAAATTGGCGCAGGCGATGGAATCGTCAAGGCGTCTCGGGCAAGCTTCCGTCGTTGCTTGAGGATGCTTCAGGATGCTTGCTCTGTGGATCTGTGGCGTGTCCAGTGCGAGGGAGCGCGTCGTCCAACCCCAGTGGTCCAACAGTATCTCTTGTCGGGACGATTCGGTGGCTTCTGGACGTGGAACTTTAACCTTCCGCACTCCAAGTATAGTTTCGAATAGGTCTACTGAGTGTATCGCAGTGGTGTGAATACATCGATGATCGAACGTTCACGCCAAAAAAGTCCGTCGAACGAAAAGGTTGGAGCTAGCCATGTACTCGAGATCAGCACCGACTTCAACCTCGACTCGTCGCCTAGGATTTGTACGGGCTGTACGTGAGGCCATCGCGCCCATCACGGACAGAAATCAAGCGCGGACAGTCCGGTCCTTGACGCATATCAACACCAGCATCAACCCTCCCGCTCGCCACTCCAAGGCACTCTAGGTGGCCGATAACCATCACGGGCTCACAAATATTGGCGCCAATGACGTTGGCACGGACAGCTCTGGACGCGCGTTGTCTCTGGCCCATCGTTCGATCTCGCATTGCACGGGCTTGGACTGCGTTTCTCAGGACCAAGCGCCTATCGTCACCTACGGTACCGGCGACGTCCGCATTTCCGCATGGCGAAAGCCGTGCCAGTCGAGCATACGGGGTACGTAGTAGTCGCACGCCATCATCTCATGCAGCATTAGACCCACCAAGCAGGTTGTTCGAGATACATTCTAGAGTCGTCGCGAGAAGCGCTTTATGTTCGACACGTTGGCGCCACGCTCGCGACGCGTCGACTCTCATGACCACTCTCACTCTTGAGAGCGATCCGGTCCGATCACTTTGGCGCTAAGTCCGAAACGACTGGCGTACGAACGCGCACTTTATCGAGCGTATAGCCGTCGTAACTATCCAACGTCCCGATAAAGTACGGGCGTTTGGACCGCCTGTCTTGGAATAAGCGCTTCGAATCGCACTTGAGCGGGTCCGAGACACGTCCCACCCTCCGGACCACAAATTTAAATGCAACGCAAGTGGGTGATGCATACAAATGGCAAATGATAAAATAAAAACCGTGCGCGACGCATCCGACCAAGCCAGTTTCCTATTAAAAACCAGGCCATTTCGTGTCACACAAAAAGGGCGGGATCGTTTACCTTGGTGTTTGTATGTGAAGCCGGTATTTAATTGCGTGAGTAATAAATTAAAAATTGAGCGGAAGATCGAACCCGAGGTTCAGCCAGTCGCACAGTCTATTTCATTACCCGACGCCGTAGGCCCACCTCGACCCGTCCGATCGAGCTAGGTAGACGCGCTCCCTCCATGAGGTCGACCTCTAGGAAGGAAGCTCATGGAAGCATGCTTGTCTAGGCCTTCTCGTTGACGTATATGAAAAGCCAGTACTCGTCTTCCTCTGCCCGACCTCCCAGCGACAAGCAGAGCGTGGCGATGCAGAACAGCGATGCGACGCGTCCGTCGGGCCATCGCCGTGCGACCAAGAACTACTTCCAGCTCGAGTCCGACACGAAGCGCCAGAGCATGATGCAAGACGCCAACGACCGGTTTGGCAACCGGCTCTCGATGATGAACGTTTTGCCGCAGCAGGACCAGGCCGAGTTCCAAGACGAGCGCTCGATCGACTACTGCTGTGAAGTGCTGCAGAACAAATTTGGTCTCCAGGACGGGTCGGTCGACAACCAGCGCGAGCACGTGCTCCTTTTGCTGGCCAACTGCGCCGCGCGCGCCGGCACGGGCACGGCCGACACGCAGTACCACGTGCAGCTGCTGCACACGAAGCTCTTTGGCAACTACAAGGAGTGGTGCGGCTTTGTTGGCGTCAAGCCCGTCGCGTACGCCGAGCGTCTCTCGGGCACGCCGCTGACGTCGCCGCTGCACATGGATCTCATGCTCTACTTTCTTATTTGGGGCGAGTCGGCCAACTTGCGGCACATGCCCGAGTGCCTCTGCTACTTGTACCACCAGATGCTCTCGGCGCTCCTTCAGGACGACCAGCACCAAGAGCGCCGTCCGCAGCAGTGGTTCCTCCAAGCCGTGGTCCGCCCGATCTGGAAGGAGTGCTCGGTTATGCAGAAGAAGAACTCGCTCGGTCTGCACTACGAGCACACCAAGGTCCGCAACTACGACGACATCAACGAGTTTTTTTGGAAGAAGGGCTGCCTCAAGATTGCGATCGACCAAGTCGCGCAGACGATCCACAAGACGCACGGCAAGACCTTTTTCGAGCACCGATCGATCTTTACGCTCATCCTCAACTACTACCGCATCTTCCACTTCAACCTCATGTTCCTCATCGGGCTCGCGGTCATCAACTACGTGGTCACGATCTCGCCCAACGGCGGCAAGTCGGGCTTCGACCAGTTTAGCGCCATGGGCAAGGTCGTCTCGCCCTACTCGACGCGCGAAGTCAAGAAGGTGGGCGTCGTTTTCATTGGCTCCCACGCGATTCTCAACGCGTTCAAGTGCTTCCTCGAGGTCGGCCACGGCTGGAACCTCCTCGTGGACCGTCGGTCGACGTCGGCGACCTCGTCCAAGTCGATGACGTACGGCCTTGCGCTCACGCTGCGCTTGATTTGGAACCTTGGCTTTGCGGGTCTCTTTGGTCTTATGGCGGTCTCGGCCATCCCGGCGGCGGGTGCGACGGACATTCTCACCAACCTCTCGCTGGCCTCGCTCGTGTACGTGGCGCCCGGCGCGCTCATTTTGATCTCGCAGTCGATCGCGCCGGGCCCGACGCGGACGCTGGGCTCGAAGTTCATCCGCGAAGGCGACTCGTGCTACACGGGCCGGCACATGGCGCCGCCGCTCTCGTACCGCCTCAAGTATGGTCTCTTTTGGATCATTCTCTGGGTGGCCAAGACGGTTGTGTCGTACTGGGTGCTCATCTCGCCGCTCATGCTTGTGTCGCTGGCGATCTACGAGATGAAGCTCACGTACAACTCGCCGATCTCGTCGTTCCACAACATGGGCATCATCGTTGCGCTCTGGGCGCCGGTCGTTTTCATCTTCAACTACGACACGCAGATCTACTTCACGATCTTGCAGGCGCTCATCGGCTGGGTCAAGGGAGCGATCATGAAGGCTGGCGAGATCCACGGTATCGAGAACCTCTCCAAGGCGTTCCGCGTTGCGCCGCAGCTCTTCGACCAAAAGGTTGTGACGGTCCTCGCGCGCTCGACGGACGCGGCTGAGATGGGCGACCAGGCCTCGCGTGGCAGCGTCAGCGCAGTCTACCAGTCGCAGATGATGCTCCGCTTTGTCGTTGTCTGGAACGAAATCGTCAACTCGTTCCGCGAGGGCGACCTTGTCGACGACAAGGAGGCGGCCATTCTGCAGTACGACATTCAGAACACGGGCGAGGTTTTTGAGCCCGTCTTCCTCTCGGCCGGCAAGCTCGGCGAGGCCATGACGTATGCGATGAAGCTCGGAAAGGGCGGTCGCGGCGACTCGGAGCTCCGCATCCAGCTCGTCAAGAACGACTGCCTCTCGGCCGTCAAGTCGTTTTTCAACGCGTCGATGTACGTGATGGAGGCGCTCCTCGGCAACGACGACGTCGAGGTGCTCGAGGCCTTCCGCATGATGGAGCAGTGCGCTTGCGACGGCGCGTTTCTTCAGTCGTTTGACGTCGGCTCGCTTTTGCACGTGCGCACGATGGCGATCGACTTTTTGGAGGCGGTCCTCGACTTGCCCGACCCGGACACCCCGTCGCCGGTGCTGCCCGACACGGCCGTGCATCCCATGGGCATCATCCGCAACTTTGTGGCCAAGACGGAGAACCTCTTCAACGCGCTGCGCCAGTTTTGCCGCAACCAAGCGATTGGTGGCAAGTTTGCCAACGTCAACTTTGTGCAGCCGGCCAACTCGTATGTGTACGCGTCGCGGGGGCTGGTCAACCTCTTCCACAGCGACACGGCGATGGGCGCAGCGACGCGCGCGTACCTTCTCATGTCGCTCGACAAGCCGGACGCGATGCCCAAGTGCGCCGAGGCCCAGCGCCGGCTCGGTTTCTTTATGAAGTCGCTCTTGATGGACATTCCGCAGCTGCGCGCGATCCGCGACATGCGGTCGTTCTCGGTCGTGACGCCGTTTTACAGCGAGGGCGTCATTTACTCGCTCGACGAGCTCAACAACCCGCTCGAGAACCACCCGATCTTCAACAAGGGCGAGGAAGTCAAGAAGAACATTTCGATCCTCAAGTACCTCATCACGATCCACCCGGAAGAGTGGGAGAACTTTTTGGAGCGCATTGACGTGTCGTCGGTCGAGGCGGCCATCAAGCAATTTCCGATGGAGATTCGGCTCTGGGCGTCGTACCGCGGCCAGACGCTCTCGCGTACCGTGCAGGGCATGATGCTCTACGAAGACGCGATCAAGATCCTCCACTGGCTCGAGATTGGGTCGAGCGCGCACCGCACGCCCGAGCAAAAGCAGCAGCAGCTCGAAGACATGGTCCGCCTCAAGTTTTCGTACATCTGCGGTTGCCAAGTATACGGCAAGCACCGCGCCGAGAACAAGCAGCAAGCCAACGACATTGACTTCTTGCTGCAGACGTACCCCAACCTGCGCGTTGCGTACGTCGACACGATCCCGACGAGCAACGGCAACCGCTTTGACACGGTGCTCATCAAGGCCGAGCAAGACGAGATTGTCGAGGTGTACCGCTACGAGCTGCCGGGCGACCCGATCCTCGGCGAAGGCAAGCCCGAGAACCAGAACAACGCGCTGCAGTTTACGCGCGGCGAGTTTCTCCAGACGATCGACATGAACCAGCAGCACTACTTCGAAGAGTGCCTCAAGATGCCGCAGCTGCTCGTAACGGCCGATATGCACCCGTCCAAGAAGCCGGTGAGTATTATCGGTATGCGCGAGCACATTTTTACGGGTAACGCGTCGTCGCTCTCCAAGTTCAAGTCGTGGCAGGAGCTCGTGTTTGTGACGCTCAGCCAGCGCGTGCTCGCCGACCCGCTCTACGTGCGCATGCACTATGGCCACCCCGATATCTTTGACAAGGTCATGTGCCTCACGCGCGGCGGTGTCTCGAAGGCGTCCAAGGGCATCAACTTGTCGGAAGACGTCTTTGCTGGCTTCAACACGACGCTGCGTGGCGGTGTCGTGACCCACGTCGAGTTCATGCAGTGCGGCAAGGGTCGTGATGTGGCCATGTCGCAGATCTCGATGTTTGAAGGCAAGCTGGCCAACGGTGCCGGCGAGACGTCTCTGGCGCGCGAGGCGTACCGCATGGGCGCCTTCATGGACTTCTTCCGGCTCAACTCGATGTACTACTCGCACACGGGCTTCTACTTTGCGACGTGGATGACGATCGTGACGTCGTTTGTGTACATCTACTCGAAGGTCTACCTCGCGCTCTCGGGCGTCCAAGAGCAAATCATCGAGAAGATGAACTCGACGTTCATCATCCGCAACAACTCGATCTACGGCTTTGACGACCGCGCGTACTACGATCTCGCCAACGTCATGAACACGCAGTACTTCATCCAGGCCGGTCTCTTCCTCACGCTGCCGCTCATTTGCGTCTACTTTTCCGAAATGGGTCTCTGGCGCGGCTTCCTCAAGTTTGTCAACATGGTGCTCACGGGCGGCCCGGCCTTCTTTGTCTTCCAAGTCGGCACGACCATGCACTACTTCGACTACAACATCATCCACGGTAACGCCAAGTACCAAGCGACGGGTCGTGGCTTCAAGATTACGCGCGAGACGTTTGTGTTGCTCTACAAGGCGTACGCCAACTCGCACTACCGCAAGGCGTGGGAGCTCGTCGGGCTCTGTTTTGTGTACTGGGCGTACGGCGAGTTTACGCTCGGTAACCGCGACCAAGTGGCCGGCGACCCGACCAACATGTTTGCCAACAAGTACAAGGACACGTCCCAGGCGTACGGCACGCAGACGTTTGCGATCTGGTCGATTTCGGTGCTCTGGCTCCTCTCGCCCTTCATCTTCAACGCCGACGGTCTCGACTATGAAAAGTCCAAGGCCGACATTACCGCGTGGTGCAAGTGGATGTTTATGCAAGAGTCGGACACGGACATTGACAAGGTGCACACGGGCGGCTGGATCAGCTGGTGGAAGGGCGACCAGCAGCAGATGCACGGGTCGGCCATGATTGCGCGCTTTACGGTCATCATTCGCGAGTCGCGCCACTTCTTGCTCATGTGGTACGTCATCACGCTCAAGCACGAGCCCGCCAAGATTGCACTTGTCCTTGCGGCCGTCGGCGCGTCGCTCGTCCTTCTCGGTGTCGTCCACGGCGTTGGCATGGGCATGCGCGGCGCGTCGCCCGTGGCGCGTGCGGCCGTCTACTTTTTCCTCGTTGTCGCGCTCTCGACGGCCTACCTCGTGGTGGCGACGACCGTCCTCTTTGCCAAGGACAAGGACGGCAACGCGGACCCAGAGGCGTGGGAGAAGAGTCTAAGCATTTTCTTTGGCTACATTGCGGGCTTGTACGGCATCAACGAGATGTTCCGCGTCTTCAACTTCCAGGCCGGTGGCGTCGCGGGCATTGTCGTTTTCCAGCAGCTCGCGTTCCTCTTCGACTTTGTCTTTGGCGCGTGCCTCCTCATCCCGCTCATGATTTTGAGCTGCATCCCGTTCATGAATGCGATCCAGACGCGCATGATGTACAACGAAGGCTTCTCCAAGGTGCTCTCGGCGTCGTCGCAGCACGCGTTCTCGCTCGCAGCGGCCATTGGTGGTGCGACGGGCTTTTCGTCGGGCTGGCTTTTGTACCTCCTCACGACGCTCGACATGTCGCCGGGCTACATCAGCTACCTCTCGACGTACAAGATTGCAATCTCGACGGGCTCGGGCTCGACGACCTACATGGTGATTGCCGCGATGGTCGGTGGCTCGGTGCTCGCGGGTGCGTTTGGCTTCTTCCTCGGTCGCCGCATGACGCTTGTGATTGCCGGTCTCCTCTCGGGCTGCGGCTGCTTGGCGCTGAGCATCATTCCGTCGGTCTCGTCGGGCTCGGCCAAGCTCATGCTCATGCTCGGTGTCGTGCTCATGGGCGTCGCGCTCGGCATCCTCCTCCCGACGGTCACGTGCTACATTTACGAGATCTCGACGGCCGACATGCGCGGCAAGACGATGCTGCCGCTTGCGTTTACGTTTGTCGTCGGCACGGCGTTTGCGTCGTGGTACTCTGCGGGCGAGATTGGCTGGGTCTGGCAAGCGTTTTGGTGCGCCGTCATCCTTGCGATCATGACGCCGATGATGAACATGTTTCCCGAGTCGCCGCAGTGGGTCCTCGAGCGCAAGGGCGTCGAAGAGTGCGAAGCGGCGCTTGGCATTTTGCGTCAGAAGCCCGACAACGCCGACGAACTCCGCGAGATGCGCGAAGAGAAGAAGGAAGCGTCGGAAGCGGCGGCCGGCGGTGGCATGTACAAGTTTGTTGTCGCGTTGTTGCTCACGATCATTCTCTCGCTCTCGACCAACTCGCTCAACATTTTCGTCGGCAAGACGTTCAACGGCTTTGCGGACAACAACCATATGTTCACCAACTGCGTCGTCATTGAGGCGTTTGGCGTGCTCATCAGCTTCTTCCTCATTGAGAAGACGCCGCACAAGAACCTGCTGTCGTTTACGCTCCTCGCGGTCGCGCTCTTTGCTGGCTTTCTCGGTGCCGACGACAAGTTTGTCATCATCAAGCTCGACAATGGCAACCGCAAGCTCATTCTGAGCCTCGTCATGTCGTTCCTCTACTTTTTCAAGGGTCTCGGCCTCACGTCGGTGCTCTGGGTCAACATTGCGGGTCTCTTCCACACGAGCACGCGCTTCCTCGCTGTGCCGTTTCTGTACATTGTGTTCTTCGGCCTCAACGCGGCGTCGCTCCAGCTGCGCCTCAACAAGCAGACCGAGACGGCGTACCTCTGGCTCTTTGCGCTCGCTGGCTGCTGCCTCCTCGCCGTCTTCTTTGTCATTGTCGCGGGCTCGCGCGCGTCGAGCGGCCTCATGTGCACCCGCGACGAGATGCGCAAGGACAAGAAGCGCACCGAGCGCCGCCGCAGCTCGCGCCACTCGCGCACGCCCGGCAGCTTTGGCCGCGGCCGCCACTCGCGGTCACGCTCCAAGTCGAACGCCAACAGCTACCACCTCGTGCACTCGCCCGCCAACGGCGGCCAACACGTCTAAGCCAGTGCGTTTTTTGATATAACTCTTTTATACACCTGCACATTTGCCTCAACGTCAATGTCTCTCCACCAGAGCTAGTCAACACTGTTCCTAGCCCGTATCGCACATGGTACCGGTGGTCGCACTGGACACGAAGCGGTCACGGGACTTGGGAGTCGTCGAGCGTTGACGCCCGAGGCAACCCACTCGAATCCATGCCGGTCAACGCTACAAATAATGGCGGTGGACTAGTTTACACAGTAGTATCATCTTTGGGTTATATAAAACTAGAGACTATTCTGTACATGAGATTATGCGCAGTGAATGCGGTCGGTGCGATCGGTCGCTTCGAGAAACTCTCTCCAAACGACGGGGAACAGGTCGGTGACGTCGTGCTGGACCGTCTTTTGCGCGCTGGCGTTGCCGGCGCAGCTCGCAAGGCGCACGGATGCCACGTAGCTCACAAACGCCTTGCCGAGGTCGCAGTAGGCGTGCGCGTCGGTCGGTGCGAGCTGGAGCCAGTTCGTGATCGCGACGAACCGCTTCTCGAGCTGCTTGTGCGTCAGCGAGAGCGCGTCGTCCGGCGCCATCTTCTTCTTCTTTCCCAGCACCGCGACCAGGAACGCCTTGGCCTTCTCGCGGATCGCACGGAGACTCACGTACCACGCGGTCTTGTACTTTTGGAGGCCAATGACGGCGCCGGTGCCATCCACATACAAATTGACCTTGCCCTCGGTCTGGTAGCCGGTCTTGATGGCGCTCAGCACGGCCTTGAACTCGGCGCCCGTGTACGGCACGACGTCGTACTGGACGGTGCGGACGCCGCAGTAGCGCCCGAGTGCATACCCGAGCAGCGGGTTCATGCAAATCTCAACGCCGTCGAGCGATCCAAGCGTCGGGAACGAAAAGCCAAAGAGGACGGGCGTATCCTCGGGCACATTCAAAAGCTCGACGTGCTGGTGGTTGGGGCAGAGGAGCTCAAACGACGCCGTGAGGCGCGTCTGCCACAAAAACTCGCAAAACATCGTCCGCTTCGCCGGCGCGAGACCCTCGAGCATGCGCAACATACCGTACGCGACGGGGCGCGCGCCCGCAAATGGGTTTTGACCGTTCGTCGTGCCGATCGCAATCGCCTTTTCAATGTCGGACGCGGTAGTGATCGCCATGTGCACGTTCTTGGAGCCGACAAGGTAGACAAAGGACCCGTCGGCCTTCTTAAGAACTGCGAGGTGGGCGGCCTCGCCGTTCTCCTTCACGGTCGAGATGACCGATTTGGTCTCGGTCGCAGGCTTTGTAAAGTATTTCGAGAGCGCTTCCGAGGCAATCGACGCGGTTTGCGCGTCGTCGCCAGCGCTGAGCTCGCCGTCGTCTTCGTGGCCCGTAAACTTGGGGTACGCACGGACGAGCGGAAAGTACGCGGTCGTCGCGGCGTCCAGCGCCCACTTGGCCACGTAGTTGCCCCGCGGGTAGTACTTGCGCGCGTACTCGTCGCCGTTGTAGATGGCGTCGTCGGGCCGGCCGCGCGCTGCGACGCGGATGTCAATGCCGACGAGGCCCTCCAGGAAGGGCAGCATGGGGCGCTCGGTGGCCATCGCGATCGGCGACGCAATCGCCTTGTCGACGTGCTCGGCCCACTCGGCGCTCCACTTGAGCACCATGTCGCGGAACGCGAGCGGTGCGCCGTCGGGCCCGGCGTGGCGGCTGCGCATGTAGGCGCGGATCTGCTCGAGCCTAATGGAGAGCATGAGCATGGGGATCATGGCGGCGCATGGGTGTACCCGCGCGTGTAGTGGATCGCATGCTCCGAGGGCGCGTCCATGAGGAGGGCTTCGACGACGCCGAGGAGCGACGGCGAGAGGTTCGTGTGCGTCGGAGCAAACATGGAAAAAGGCAAAGTGACCGCGACCTTGCAAATCGGTCATCCGGATCGACCATCACTCGCGCACGATCCTTATCCGGACAATCGCCTGCCGAGTGATGTTGCGTTCGAAGGGCTTGTGAAAGGGAGTTGGCTGCATAAGTTGTTGTCATCCAGTCACTGGAAATGTTGACCAAAGAGGTGGGACGAGCTCATTCAGGGCACCAGAGTAACGGTGAAGCGACAGTACCTTGGCACTTCATACAGACACACCATGGGCATCGCCTTATCAAGGGACATCGAGCTCGTAGACGCTCGTTTAGCGATGAAGCCTGTCGGCAGGCTCCTCGCGAATAGCGGAAAAGCGGAGCAAAATGTCCTCACAAGAATGGGTGTCAACAGGCATGATCATTCAGTGCCCATTGACTTTGACTTGGTGCTGGAAACCGCCATTTTGAGTTTGAGTTTAAACGATGACAAGCCATCAGCAAAAAGAATTTTGCTGCATGAGAATGAAATGGAAAACGTACGACGCTGCGCTGCGACGCCATCGCGGGTACACTCACACTAGAGCGTGCGTTGGAGGTTGCATGCGCTTTGAATTTGCCTTCAACGAGTTTGCATCCTTCCACTTGTGATGGCAGTGACTAGCAACCAAGGGAATTATTCCTCGCTGTTAGCAACAAAATGATTTTCGGACCCACGATGAGCTGGCGGAAGCGCGAGGTGGCAGAATTATGCGTGCTCTGCATGAGCTACGCAGCAAACGCCATCTCGAACGGTGCAGCATCTCTCGGCTAATCTCTCGCACGTCACGTGCCTGTTATCGAGGCCTCATCGGCCGCGACTGGCAAGGTGTCAACGCTGACACAGTGCATGTCCAGCCTTGCGTTGCGGATGCAATCGGGGCGCCAACGGTACGAATGAACGTGATAACAAGGACTTTATGATGATCAACTTGACTAATACATAGTGCTATGCGCCCCAGTGAACAACATACTACATGTACAACATAAAAAGCTACGACTACTTGTTCTACGAGGCAAGCGACAGAAGGTACTCATAGACGTCCTTGTGCCCATGGGCCAGTGCCACTTCGCATGTGCGCGCGCTGTAGCCTTCGCTGCGACGTGTCGCGAGGTATCGAACGACATCCAAGTGCCCACGTAGCGCCGCGCGGTCGATGGCGCCGCGGGTTGCGCCATACGCTCGCTTCTCGTGCAGAAAGACCACGATCGCCAAGTGCCCGTTGGCGGCGGCGCCGTCGAGGGCTGCGACCGTGGCCCCTTCGCTGCGGCGTGCGTGGAGGTATTGAACGACGGCCAAGTGTCCTTCGGAAGCCGCACCGTCCATCGCGCGCGTCGAGCCGACAACCTCCGTGTGGTCAGTGAGGTGCTCGGCAACGTCCAAGTGGCCCTGTCGCGCCGCAAGGTCGAGCGCGTGCCCCGTGAGGCCACTGTACCCATTGGCGAGCAGGAATTGAAGCGTCGCGAGGCTGCCGCGCAGCGCGGCGAGGTCCAGCAGGTGGTCGCACGACGACTCCATGCGATAATGGGCGTGGACCAACGCGGCAATGTCGACGCGGTCGGCGTACGCTGCGTGGTACAGCGCCATGTAGCGCATCGGCGGTGCGTCCCGAAGAACGGAGTGCAAGCGAGAAGTGCCAACGTCTGCGTACCAAGGTGCAAGCGCGGCCTCGACCGAGCGTAGGAACGGAAGGAGCGTCGTGGGCATGTCGCCGCCGACGAGGCGGTCGCAGTCGGCCTCGGTGAAGACGCGGAAGCGTAGCACGTCTTCGATGACGCCATCTTGGTACGAAGCGAGAAGCGCAAAGAGGTCGGCGGACCGCAGCACGCCCGCGCTCGCTTCTGTCATGCTACTTGGAAATGGCATTGCATCCGTCTGGCACCCGAGAAGACCAACACTCGTCGTTCGCGATTAAAAATCAGGTAAAATTAATTAAATGCCAATCGAGAAGATCGCTACTTTTGGACGGGCGTCGTCGCACTTACTCGGAGAAACTCGTCGCTGTGCATCGCAAGGGGCGGCGGCGTCTGCGGCGAGCCCGGAGTCGTGAGTCGCTGACGCATGGCCTTGGCAATTAGTGCAATACCGACGACGGCGACCACACCTACGGCAACCGCCGCCACTGCGCCGGGGCCCGCGCTTCCGGAGTCGATGTCGGTCAGCGCTCGGAGGCGGATCGTCGTGACCTTGGCGACGGCGAAGTCGGGCGTGGCGGCCGTCACGAGAGTAAGAATAAGAAACAATGCGAACTGAAGCAAGTGCATGGTGCGGGTCGTGGCAAATTGCAAAGTGAAATCGAGAAAAAGCAGCGTGTTGGAAATCTTTTGGTGGCATCCGACCTGTCTCGCCCAATCAGAAGCCGTGCTTTCGGCTGTCCCAATCGGCGACACGGAATTGGCAAAGATTTCAGCCAATGAGGTGCAGGATGTCGATCCAGCGCAAAGGCCAGAAGCATCCGCTGCGTTCCGTCGACGTCGGTCGTGTGGCCGTTAGTGTAGCTACTACCCACAACTCTCGGAATCGGAGCGTTGGTTATATCAGCCAAGGTTGCAGAGCGCCTTTTGGGCCCACTTGACACTCCTTCCACGATTTCTCGCCCGAGAGCTACTCACGCTCTCGAGACGGGTGGCGCCGCGTCAAGGTGGCGGAGATGGCGCCAAGGGACACTTTAGGGTGGCCGTCCACGTGGTTGTCAGAAGACACCATCACCGAGGCGGGTGGCAGTCGTCGGTCGCACAATGGCGTGCGGCCTTGGACTTTCCATATTTTATATTTTGACTGCGACGTTTGATGTGCGTAGCGCCTCGATCGACCATTTTGTTTTCAGGAAATAGATTTCAAAATTTGCGCTGGGGCTGTCTTTGATTATGTTTGATTTACTTTTGTCGCTGATTGTTGAAGGCACTGAGGCCGCATTGCCCGGCAAGCGCTTCTCGCAACAGCATGAGCGGTTTCACGAGATATCCTCCCACGCGCACGGCGCTTGCCACCGAAAACGACTCTGGCCGTTGATGGAAGCAATCGTGAGAAAGGGAATCTCAAACACTCGTGCTCGTGGAACCCGCAGTTTCACTAAAAGTATCCAAGCATTGACTCAATAAGCTGCACAGCATACGTCTACCAGCGGTCCGAGTACGTTTGTACTAGGGCAACTGCAATGAGCCGCGCACTTGCTATTACCTCAAATCGTCGCCGTTCAATACATCGAAGGACACCGGTGGTTCTGTTCGATTGTTCGGACAGGGCGCCTTGGACCGAAGTGCATTCTGTTTGCAGCTTTGATAAGGGTTGTCGCATGTTTGTTGCATGCAAGCAGCACGTGCAGCAAGTTCGTATGTTTTCACGATGCATGTATGTACAGATATGTCTCATAGTCTCTTCAAACGATAGATTATCGATACCAGGCAGTCCAGGCACTCCAAGGCGGCGGAAGCTGAGGCATTATCGAATGAACGATTGGGGCATTGAAGAAATGCACGGAAGAGTCGTTGTGTAGTACATGACTGAGGTTCCAGCCCCACACAACCTGTAGTACAGCGTCAATGTCTCGACAACTCGGTGTATACCAGTAACGTGCGCCGACACGAGCCTTTTCGGAAAATAATAGCTTTGTACATGCTTGCAAGTACATTTCTAACGTTATTGCAATTTGCCACCAAGATCACGCTGCCGATCGTCCTGCATCGCGACCTCCAGTCGCTGACGCCGCCTCAGTCGCTGGCGACTCCCGACGACCTTGACAAACTGCGTAGCTTTGCCGCCGACCGCGACGCCTGGAAAGATTTGACCGACCGTGTCGTCCAGTGCCTCACCCGCGGGCCACAAGCGTCGTAGGGCGACGACAGAAGAGCCCCACAGACCGGCGAGCGAATGAAGGAGATTGCTAGTCTCTACGAAATCTTTGTGTAATTATGAAGATAACGCGAAACACGTTCATATATACATAATTTGCCACTGTCCTCGGTCGCCCATGTCCACCGTCGACAGGGGTAGGGTTGACGGTTCGCACCTCTTGCTCACCAAACTCAAGGGTTTGGTCACACGACTACCGGGTAGAGGCTATATCTCTACTTCCAACCATATGCCATCCGTGTGCCCAGTACAACATGAAGGTGCACATGAGCATTACGAGTCCAGCGGTCATGCATCAGTGTCATCACCAGTGTCGTGCAAGGTAGTGTTAAATCTGTAAAATCTGCTTCAACGCGACCCCACACAGCTTCTGTCGCCCTTGCGTACACTCGCATGATATCGTGTCGCTTTTGCCCTCGAACTGGAAAGTCCACGCCTTTACGACAACACCCGTTCAAGCTAAATTTAACTTGGCTCATTTTTGCTGCCGTTGCCACCATGAAGAGCGCTGCCATCCTGCCACCGACGCACACCGCGGGGGACGACATCCTTGACGGTACGCTGTGTTTGTGGCGCCTTCCTCTCGCTGCATTGGCGCTGGACGGTCGACCCGTAGAGGACAAGGGCGCGATTGTGCTGGCGACGCATGAGCTGCGGCCGCTCAAGCACCCCCGCGACGACGTCGCCGCCGCCTTGCGCGCCATCGACGACGCCGACTGGTACGTTCAGTACGAGGCGATCGAGACCTTTCGCCGGGCACTCGTGCACCACGCACCGACCGCGGGCCCGCACCTCGGCGACGTTCTCGACATCGTGTCGGCCGCGAGCCTCAACCTCCGGTCTGCCACGAGCAAGAACGCGCTCCTCGCGCTCGCCGAGTGCTTTGAGTTTGGCGATGTATCCGCGCTACCGCTCCTCCACGTCGTCCAAGCGCTCATGAAGCGCGCTGCATGCGAAAAGAAGTTTTTGCGCGACGCCGCCACGCTCGCGATCGGGAAGCTCACGACATATGCACCGACGTGGCCCGTCCTTGTGGCGCTCGCGGCCTACTCGTCGAGCAAGAGCGCCAAGCTCGTCACGGCCGCCTGCAATGGCACGGTACGTCGTCTGAGGTCTGAGTTCTGATTTCGAGTGTCGTCAACCTGTAGATGCTGTGCTTGCTTCAAATGCAAGTCGACGCGACGATCTTGAACCCGACGCAGGTACAAAATGCGTGCTGACGCGTCCTGTTGACGCACTCGTATAGATCGTCGAAGTGCTTCCTGCGCTGGCTCGGTTCCGCAACGGGAAGGACGCCAAGGCTCGCGAAGATGCACTTGTCGGCTTGAACGTTGTCGCGTCGTTTGCCGGCGGCAGCGACATCTTTGAGAAGCTCGTGAGCACCGCGATCGGCGACAAGGTCGCTGCGACCAAGGTCCTTCAGGCGGTCGTCGCAAGCAGCAAGCGCAAGGCCCTCGCACGGGCACCGCTGACGACGGGGCTCCGCGCGGCGCTCCAGAGCCGGAAAACGCAGCAGCAACCGCAGACAGTCGAGTAGGTCTCGTGGTCTAGAGGAGAGATCGCTTGTACAAAATACTTCGCACTAATGCTGTGAAACGCGTCGGCGTCGGCAGGTCGTGTAGGGCTAGGCTCTGCTCATTAACGTTTATCTCTACTTATTCCTTCTTGGTCTTGGCCGCGTCGTCGTCGAGGTCGGCGGGCTTCATGCTCTTCAAGCGCTCCAGCCACGACAAGGCGCCGGCGCTGCCGCGCGCGGCCTCGTCGCTGCCTTCGACCTTGATGGGCGAGAAGACAAAGACATCTTCGCTCAACTGCTGCTTGAGGTTGTTCTCGTCGATCCACGTCGCCGACTGGGCCTTCAACGCTTCGAGGACCTTCTCGCGCTTGATGACGATCTTGGCTTCCTCCTGCTCGCGGACGATCTTGGCCTCGGCGGCGCGCGCGGCGACAAACTCGGCGTGGCGGGCCTTCTCGGCGGCAACCTCTTCGGCGCGGACGGCCTGCTTCTGGCGCTTGAGTTCCAAGCGGGCAGCCTTGGCCTTCATGATGCGCTCACGCTCGGCGCTATTCGCTTCATAAGATATCATGCGTGATGAGGTCGTATGCAATGTACGCTTGATCGCGGGCGAGCTTTTCCCGGCGGGCCATTTCCTGCTGCATGTACAGCTTGCGGAGCTCCGAGACTTCGGCCTTGTAGGCGCGACGGCTCTTGACGAACGAGTACGCAGCTTCAGTGCTGAACTACAGTGCGCACATACACACGTCAACCTTGGCATCTCCAGGCGCATGTACCTGGCGGGAAGCGATGGCAATGCGTTGCATCCTTATCACGGCCTTCGGGGAATCGCGAACTGGAGGGCCTCATTTACTGGACAAGAGGGAGGTTCAGCATTTTGGCCAATCGCAAAGCGTGTTCCACTTCGAACTTCGATGCCATCGGCTTCGGTGTTCGGCGATTCCCCTCGAAAGGAGCAGATTATGGCCTAGTATTCACCAATCACAGAGCCGAATTTTTGAGTTGAGGCCTTTGGATTGGTTGAAATCCAAAACGCACAGCGTCAGCAATCAACTGACCAATATTCTTTTGGCGCCAATCTTCCTGTGTACATTATTGTCATTCGACTCGACTATAGAGCTAGAGTTTCCATGAAAGCATTTGGGTTTTTGTATTAGCCTCATCAATTATGTAGAGCGAGAGTTGACGTAGGGACATTACGCGTTCAGAGTCACGACTTCGCGGCCACTGCCCCGTACGAGCAGCACCGCCGAGAGGTGCTGCGTCAGCGCTTCGACGTACGTCACAACTAGACGTGTTGGCAAATATGACAATATGTCCAAAGAGATAGACGTACAGTTGCTTGCGGGAACACCAATGAGGCGTGGGAGGTTCACCACCACGAGTGACGCGTCGCCCGAGTGCTCCTACGCATCGTCATCCTCTCCATGACTCTTTTTGATGATGCAAAAAGCGCATACGAGCATGTGCTGATTCATGAGCTGGGCGTGCACGAGGCGCGTGTCCGCCGAGGGCGCTGGCGGTGACGCAGCAAACCGCTTGCCGCGGGACCGCTCGTCGTCGTCCTCGATCGCTGTGCCCACGTCGCTGAGGTCGTCGACGAGCTGCTCGTAGCCGTCTCGGATCGTAAATGACAGGGTCGTCACCTACGCGCTGAGTCAACTCGCAGCATTCTGGCGACATGTACCTTCATAGCAGCGAGCGCCTCCTTCTTCTTCCGCAACTCGTCCTTGGTGCGCTTGATGAGAAGCGACGAGATCGTTGCCATTTGCAAAGGCACAACGTGGACCTCTGCCTCGATGCGTGCGCCTTCTAAAAAGTCGGCGAGGCGCGCCGCAATCTAACGGCCTGATACCACAAGGTACGGTGTGCCGCGTCATACCTCGCCAGCATCTTCCTTCATCGAGACAACCGTGAAGAGCCGAAGCTTGGTCTTGCGCCACACAAAATGCAAGCGAAGAAGGTACGGGATCTAACCCAAGCGTCTGGATGCGGAAAGCAGCAGCGAGATACCAGTAGGAGGAGCCCGCCGTCGTGAAGGACCCACCAAATGTCGACCGTGCCGCGCCGGCTGTCGTCGTTGGATGGAAACGAAGCGAGGCCTTTGGCCAAGAGAAGAGCCTTCTTGCAGTTGATGATCTCGTGGAGCATATCGACATAAGCATCGAGAAACGCTTGGTCTCGACTCGCAGCCGCCTTGGGCCAACCAAGTAGCACCGTGTTGCTGCGCAGCGGGCCCATGCCCGAGGCCTCCGCGACGGTGCCCATGCTCTTCAGAATGCTCTTGCAGGCGTACACATGCCCGAAACCAGCAATGTGTGCGCTTAGCAAGTGCGCTCGGAGGCGGTGCGTGGCTTGCGACGCCACGTCGTACGTCGTGTCGTCCTTCCCTGCGAGCAAGTTGACGACCTCGACAAGCCCCTAGACCACACGCGTTAAAAGAAATGAATTTGGGGCAGTATCAAGTTTACGTGGCCTTCTTTGAGCTGGCTCGCAAAGTCGAGCAGTTGCGTGCTCGACGGGAGACCGCGGCCGTTGGTTTTGCAAAACACGAGGATCTGGGGCCGCCAGTTCTTTGTGTGCTCTTCCTCGTCGGCTTGGTTGAGGCACTGCAAGAGCCAGCACGCCTACACCACGTTGATATAACGAGATACTGAGGAGGAGGTGAATACGAGTTCGAGGTGCATGCCCCGAATGGACGAGCCCCAGTCCTTCTTGAAGCCAAGGCAGCGCACGTAGAGTCGAAGAAGAACACAGAGAAGGATGGCCAAGATAGCTTTGGTCCACGAAAAGAAGAGCATGAGGCCGATGCTGCCCATGCTACCGAGCAGCGCGGTCGACCAGTGGAAATAGTGCCTACAACAAAACTCCGTGTTTGAACGGGATCGAAGTCCGTACCACTTGGGACGAAAGCCTGGGGCGTGGCCCAACGCCATCGAAAAGCACGCAAAGTTGAGCGTCGCACAGAGCATGAGGCTCGACATGGTCAGAAACGGCGCTAAAAAGTCCAGATTGCCTAATCAATATATGGACAAGTTGTCTCCATGCACGAAAAATAGTAAAAATACCGGCAATGCACGGAAGACACGACAGGGCGAGGATCAACCCCACGGCTTTTCTTGGCTCGTCGCCGTCTTTGGCAGCAAACGGCCGCAGAAATGGAATCACATTGTCGTTGGCCATGGCCGCAAGCATGCGCGGGTGCCCCGTGAGGTTTTGCAGGGCGCCACCAATCGCACTGAAGAAGATGCCGAGGTTGATGAGCTGCTTCGTCGGCCACGCGACCGTCGACAGAATAAACTTGTCGGCTTTCAGGACCTACGACCCTCCTTGATCTCTCGCAACAGCGCAAGGGTTTACGTGATTGGGGATCGTACTGCCGACCGAGATGACACATGCCAAGTTGAGGACGAGCACCGTGACCATGGCCGCTGCCAAACGATCGTGACAACCCTAGAAATCGTGTGTTGCGGTACCTAGTGTGCCCAGCGGAATGGACCGCGACGGTGTCGCCAAGACGCCAGATCTAGGCAATAAGAAGTTCAACGACCTCGAGCCGTCGACCTTCGTACCGCATGGCCCCTGCCATGTAGCCCGTCGTGCCTGGATAGACCACGGAGATCATGGTGGTCACCGTCGGCATGATGCCGGTCGTCGGGTCTTTTGTGAAATTCGTATGTACATTGCCAAACCAAACTATTGGCGTCGACGCCTCGCTACGCTCGTGTCAAGGACGCGTCTCAAAAAGCCGTCTGTCTACCTGGGGTTGGGGTTACCAACAAGGACCAAAAGCCCGAGGAACGAGCTTGCAATCGAGAGCGTCACCATGAGGAAGCACGCAAAGCCGACCATGGCGATGTACTTCATGCCTACTCACAGCTTGTTATCGCCCAAGGTATAGGACCCTCGTACCAATGCCAGCAATGGCGCCGAGAATCCCCAAGAGGATGAGCGCTTGGAGGCGAAGGTCCGCCACGATCCACTGGCTTGTATCAAAAATGTTGGCCAGCGTCTCGACGGCGCCCAGCACCATGAAAGCAAGCGCAAACGATGCCCCGCAAAACACGAGGATGCCCACCGAGAGACCTGTCTCTATAAACAATAGACGGGTTAGCGCCAAGAGGGATGTCGAAGCGGTACCAATGCCAATCGTGCGCGAAATCAAGTAGTAGACGCCGCCACCCGCGATCTTGCCTAGCCACGAGCATTAGGTGGCCGGACCGTACGTAGATGCTACCGTTCGTGACAAGTGCGCAGATGGAGAGCGCCGTCAAGTAGCCCACAGACTGGCACATGACGAAGAGAAAGCACGTGAGAGGCACGCCCGCTTGGCTCGTGACCCAGGGCATGCGGCAGAAGTAGACGACACCGATGAGGGTTTGGAGACAGGGCAGGTACACACCGTGAAGCGTGCCCTGCTTCGTGCTCTTCTTGGCTAGCGGGACCGAGCTTGTCGGAAGCGTGAGAGCAATGTCGCCCGAGCACTTGGAGAGCGCCATCGTGCAGCTCTCGCGGGCAGCTTCGTCCTACCCATCATCGCCTTAGCCACTGACTCATGGAGCGAGCTCATGCGCACGAAGAGGCCTTCGTCGGACGTGATGTCGCACACGGCCTCGGCGGCTCGCGTCTCACTCAGCAGCGCTTCGTCGTCGTGGCCCATCGGCAATTTGGATATGGGAAGATTGACATGTTCGGAAATGCACCTAATTACGACCAATCATATCGCACGATTCGTTTCGAGCCAATCAGAATGCGCGCCGTGAAACCGACCAAGGCGACGGTTTCGCTTGACGAACAACATGCGACGCCGGGCGCGGTCTAGTTGAAGTTGCACTTTGAATGCGCCTCTAGTTGATCAAAGAAGAACCTGTTACGTTAACAAGCCCAACTGAAGCGTTCCGAGCTCGGGCTTGCCACCATGACGCAATATTCTTTAGCATTTCACGAGGCAGCCAACTTCTTTCATGCTTGTCAAAGCACACGCGCACTGTTGTGGGAAGGGGTGACGACCAGACACATGCATCAAAGGCTTAGCGAGGCAATATCTGGCCTGAGCTTGCGCAGTGTACCAGTTGCTGCATACAGTGCAATTGTGCAGCAGATAAAATGCCAGTGTTAGGACACTCTACTTCGATGAGCGGGACGGTGAAGGATGTCGAAACCAGCGGCGGTTCAAGCGTCGGAGGCGCAAACACGATTGATTCAACGTCGTGGTGACCGCAATGGACGACTCGGGCTTGGCGACGTCATCAAAAAGCTTTGCCAGTGTATTTTTTATCGTTTTTCAGCTCTGCCTTCGACGACATATCTGAGCTATTTCGAATTGCCCATGCGTGCAAGCGGCCGTGTACTCGAAGTCGGCGCGACGTGCGAGCAGCCCTCCATTAGAGGAGCGGTCGTTTCGCTCGTCGCAGATAAACTATTGGTTCGCGATGGAAGCGCATGCCGATGAAGGCCCCATTGGCATCAGTACCATCAGGCTGGGGCGGCCGCAAAAACTGCAGAGTGGCCTTGGACCCGAGTTCGACAAGCGACTGCGGAGCACATGACATGACCAGAGGAGCGGAGAACAGTGCGTGATGCCGTCGATTGCCAGTGGTTGGCTCCGTCGATGGGACGGGTGCGCTACCTGAAACCCAACGGTGCGATGATGCGTGGCGCCACGACGACCCGCCGTTGGGGCGCCCCGTCCCGAGCTGCCACCACCTTGTCCACCTTGAAGATACGGCAGTTGGCGCATACGCAGAGGCGCGTGCATTTTCTGTTTAGCATCCAATGGCCGACGACATCGACGACGCGTCCGTGGCGTACGAGCCGCTTGTGGATCTGCGCGCCGCAACGTTCCCTTGGGACCCACATGAAGTCTACCGCGTACAGCTACATGCGCCCCATGACCGCTACGTCTTCAAGCTCTGGCTCGAGTCGACGCGATCGAAAGAGCAGTGGTCGACACAGCGAGAGCGTTTTCGTTGGCTCATTCCTTGCTTTCAACTAGGACGACTCGTGTGACGAACCTCCAAGCGCACGCTCCGGACGCCGTCATGCTACCGCTGTCGATCGTTCTCAGTTGCCTCGAGGTGGATACGCCGTTGCCGAGTTCGAACGAGGAAGACACGTGGTTATTGTAGCGGAGTCTGGTCGAGAAGGCACACGTGGATGTATCACCTCGAGGCGATGGGTCGCTGAGCTTGAAGCTGACGATCGAGGTCGAGTTTGCAGCCCCGATTCTCTACGTCTTTAACCTGACTGCGGTGGGTGTCGACCTTGTCCACGTCCTGGAGGCCAAGATGCGCGATTGCGACGCTGCGATCGAGTCCCTCTCGAGCAGCTCCAAGTCAAAGGACGTGGTCATCGCCAAGCTCTTTGATATGCTCGAGGCGGTCAAGACGGACGTCGCACAGTTGCGTGGCGTGGTAGGCCGCAACCACGAGCTGGCGGCAGTCATGCCCAACGGCGCGGCTCCGCCAAAGGACGTTTTGGCCCGCAAAGCAGCGCCCGTCGTCTTTGATGTTGACGACATGCCCCTGGCGCGCGATCGAGACGATGCCCAGCGGTACCCGAAGCGCGCCAAGAAAGACAAGCCGAGCAAGACGCCAACCGACAGCGCCAATGGAGACAAGTAGCTCTTGACTAATCATGTAATGCTACTCGATGGATTCGTCAGTAGTTGCGAGGTTTACGTTAAACCATGTACGAACGACAAAAGTGCAATGTCATTTTGCGATGCCCTTGGGGGTGTGGTACCTTGGCGCACTATGACTTTTGATGCGTTAGTAGAAGAGGCGTCTGACAATCGACACGACTCTCCCAGCAGGTTTTCTCGTCTGTCTTGAGCGAAGAGGGAGACTCAACGAGCAAACCACACACGAGTTTGCGAACACAGTGACGATCCTTGCTGTCGTGTCAGGAATCACACGGTTCTTAGCTGCTTATCGGGACGGTGCCGCATCCTCGCTTAAATTCGGCATGTCGATACGCTGCTTCGAGACACGAGGCAGCTGGTGCGTCGCAGCCAGCGAAATCGGTTTGGCCGGTGAAAGCAGGCTGCATAGCGTAAACGCTGCGTTCGTTTCCTTCGACGTCGTCACAACCATCGTTTGATGGCTCGGAAGCGGGCTAGCATAGAGAGCTCTGGCCTTCTGGACGCGCGCAAGGAATTTGCTGCACGCGTATACTGTTGTATGCAGCGCATCAAGGCTTCAAGCGAGTGGCCATCGCCGAAGATTCAAGCGCCGGCTGCTTCGTCACGGGTGCATGGGTGAGCATGGTACCAAGAGGGATGCAAGCACTGCCGCTTCCTTGCCAGACGCCCGGCCTTGCTGCAGCCAACGGCGGGGCTTGCAATTGCAGATCAACGCCATACCATCTCCTCATACAGACGCCGCAGCTACTGGAAGGGTAGAACGATCGCGCGTCGGCGTCACCTCGTGTAGGACGATGATGCCGAAAATAAGCCTGTTTGGTTCAAGGATCCACGGATAAATCCACGCATGTCCCACTTTGCCCCTCGGCGCCTGCTTCTATGCAGCTTATCTGTACTTGAACTTTGTATGTGGCCGCACAGGCATGTCCCAACACGTGAAATCCAGTGGCGAAGGTCGCCATTTCGGAACCATCCATCCGCTTCACAGTTCCCGATGCTCTCCCGGTCCCTCCGCCCCGCTGGCCTCCGCTCGCTCCTCGCGCGCAGCTTGAGCCACAAGCCGTCCAAGAAGGACGCCTTCTCGATGACCAAGGTATGCACCCTTTCTGCAACGACTTGAAAATCAACTTGACCGAATAGATTGTCGGCACGATTGGGCCCGTCTCGGAGAACGCCAAGACGACGCAGGAGCTCACGAACGCTGGCCTCAAGATCATGCGCATCAACTTCTCGCACGCCACGTACGACGAAGCGCTCCTCCGCATGTCGCACCTCCGCGCGTCCAAGGGCGTGCACGCCAAGGCGACCGGCAGCGAATTCAACGTCCGCGCCGTCCTCTTGGACACGCAGGGCCCCGAGATCCGCGGCGGCGCCTTCCCCGAGAAGAAGGTCGAGCTGCTCAAGGGCAACAAGATCACGCTCACGACCGATCTCCAGTACAAGGAAGCGAGCACAGCAAACCTCTTGTTCGTGACGTACGAGCAGTTGCCGATGACGGTCAAGGTCGGCGACACGATCTTGCTCGACGACGGCCTCATCTCGCTCACGGCCGAGTCGATCGACCTTGCGGCCGGCCAGGTGCACTGCCGCATTGAGAACACTGAGATGCTCGGCTCGCGCAAGGGCGTGAACCTCCCGGGTCTCGTCGTCGACCTCCCGGCGCTTACGGCCAAGGACAAGCAGGACGTTGAGTTTGGTGTCGAGCACGACATGGACTTCATCGCGGTCTCGTTTGTGCGCAAGCCGGAAGACGTCCTGGACGTCAAGGACTTTGTAAACTCGGTCATGCCCAAGTACTGGCCGTCGTCGCACCCGGCGCCGCTCATCATCTCCAAGATTGAAAACTACGAGGGTGTGACCAACTTTGACCGCATCCTCGACGTCTCGGACGGTATCATGGTGGCCCGCGGCGACCTCGGTGTCGAAATCCCGATGCACCAAGTGCTCACGTGCCAGAAGGACATGGTCGCCAAGTGCAACGCTGTCGGGAAGCCCGTCATCGTCGCCACGCAGATGCTCGAGTCGATGATCACCAACCCGCGCCCGACGCGCGCCGAGATCCTCGATGTCGGTAACGCCGTCTTGGATGGCGCCGACGCCGTCATGCTCTCGGGCGAAGTCGCCCAGGGCAAGTGGCCCGTCGAGTCGGTCTCGACCATGATGTCGGTCGTCAAGGAAGCCGACGCGTACACCAAGCGCGAACAGTACAAGACGGACGCGCTCTCGCAGCAGGAGGCGGTCGCGAGCGCGGTTGCGACGACGGCCAAGGCGCTCCACGCGGCCATGATCGTCGTCATGACCGAGACTGGCGACGTCGCGCGCCTTGTCTCCAAGCACAAGCCGAGCGTGCCTGTCATGTGCTACACAACGAGCCAAAAGGTCGGTCGCCAGCTCCAGGTGCACCGTGGCCTCTACCCGATCGTGGCGCCGACGCAGTCCAAGATGAACTTGCACGACGCGATCTCGACCGCCAAGAAGCTCGGTTGGCTCCACGCTGGCGACAAGGTGGTCATGCTCTCGAGCGACTCGGCCAAGCACGAGATGGGCCAGCAGTTCATCATGCGTGTGGCCACCGTCGACGAAGCCGGTTCCAACTAAGCGCTCACTTGTAGTAATAGTAAAACCACACTTATGTAACACCATATCGACGGTGCTGAACGATGCAAGTATGCCCATCACCGATGCTCGCCTCGCGTACCCGGTACTAGCAGCGCAGTACACCAGTGGTGATGTTGCGACGAACTGACTCGAGTCGAGTCGGTTGGAACTGGTACCGGAACGCGAGCGTCGTTCTTGAACAAGGATAACGTGGCAGCTACACCATACCGGTGGACGTTAACATAGACCAGTGAAATAGGACGGGTACAAGGGCAAGCAGATAATATGATAGAAGAAGTGTATATAAGTTAGGTGCGGGCTACCACTAGATGTGGAGCACCGACATCTCGTGACAAGACGACTTGGTTTGGATGCGGTGGGTATCGCAGAGGCCGCCGCCGCGGTCGGTGCGGGGACATCCTGCAACAAGGCAGTGGCGGAACCCGCCGTGCTTGGCGCAAAACTGGCCGCGCTGCACGCCTTTGAGGCAGCCGGGCGACGCACAGCGCTTGCCGCCACCGTGTTTCCGGCAATGCCCGCCCCCTTGCGAGCTCTTGTCACAGCCGTCGACCGAACACCGGATGCCGCCGCCATGCGCCTTGCAGAGCCCAAGCGTCTGCACGGCCTTGGTGCAGCCGTCCATCGAGCAGCGACGACCGCCCCCATGGGCGATGCAAAAGCCGCCTTTCTGCGGGCCGCGCGGACAGCCCGCGTGGCTGCAGCGCTTGGTGCCACCATGGAGCTTGCAGTGGCCTCGCCGCCACGGAATGGATGTGGCACAGCCGTCCACAAGGCAGACAAAAGCGGGCTCGAAGGCGCTGCCGAGGTCGATGGCGGCGACGTCGGTCACGTGTGCCGGCTCGAGCTCGAGTGTCGAGCCGCTGGGTGCAAACGCGCTGCAGATAAAGTGGATCTCGGCCACCGTGAAGAGCTCGGTCGTGGGTGTATTCGTCATAGAGAGCAAAGTTGTGACTGATGCATGAAACGAATGGCTCGTCCCGAGATGCGGCGCACCCAGAAACACCCAGCGTCGCTCCACCGGCCATGATTAGCGACCGCTTAGTTGTCATACACCTACCAGCTGGCGTCGGTATGAAACGGATGCCCGTCACAGAGTCCTACTGCACTGCTCTCGCCAGTCGAGTCGCAAGTCTACCGACAGCCCGCGTTTCCAAGCACCAAACGCCAAAGAGCAAGATCCATTCCGACCAGTGACCGCGGCGACGACAAAGGTTCCGCCATCGACACCTAAAATTTGTCGCCATCCAAACTTTTCAACACAAAATATGTCATTTTGGTGGCTCGTCGGTGCGGCCATCACGGGGTGCGTCACGCTGCCCGATGATGCCTCGTGTACGCACTTCTGTCGTAAAACAAGAGGCGCCACCACGTGACAGGTCACTGCGATCGATCCAAGACCACATGGCCACCTTGAAACTCCGTCCGCAGGTCGCAGCGTCGCGGCGCCTTTCCCTCTACTAGTACTTGTGGTCTCCGTTGCGTGTTCGCAACAAACACCCTTGTGTGTACGTGTACCGACCTGTCGCTCGAACAAACGCATTCCTCCCGCGGTGTGTTGACGTCTGCAATGTATAGGCAAGGCCATTTCTAGTCGAGTGAGCTGTCATTTTTGGCGCTTGGTACGGCATTGCGCTTGATACGGTAGGGGGACCTGTGAATGTACCAAAGTCGCCTACAGGACGGCGCCGTAGAGCGTATCGACGTTTGCCGTCTCGGACATGCGGTTGATCGCAAGGTCAAAGTGACGCATCTCGACGACCGTTGCGCCGTGGCGCACCGCGAGCAGCGCCGCTTCGTTCACAAGGCACGCGAGCTGCGCGCCCGACGAGCCGTCGAGCTTGGGGTTCTTGGCGATCGTGGTGACCGAGACCGTGAGGCCAGTACGAATGCGCTTCATATGCACGCGCAAAATGGCTTCGCGTCCAGCGGCGTCCGGGAGCCCAACATACACGTGGCGGTCAAAGCGGCCGGGCCGGCACAGCGCAGGATCCAGCACCTACAGCATTTTTCACTCCAGTATCCTGTTTCATACAGTATCTCGTAGTACATGCGGGCGGTTCGTCGCTGCAATCACAATGACGCCTTCCGTATGGCCCTCAAAGCCGTCCATCTCCGTCAAAAGTTGGTTGAGCGTCTGCTCGCGCTCGTCGTTCGAGTTGAGACCGCCGCGTGCCTTGGCTACACCACAGATTTAGTGTTGGGTCGAAAGACGAACGTACCGAGGGCGTCCAGTTCGTCGATGAAGATGATGCATTTCGGGTGCTGCGACGCCTGCGTGAAGAGGTCCCGGACGCGCGACGCACCGCGCCCGACGAGCATCTCGACAAAATCGGACGCCGAGCAGTAGAGGAACGCGACGCCCGCTTCGGCCGCGACCGCGCGCGCCAAAAGGGTCTTGCCAGTCCCCGACGGACCGCAGAGCAGCACACCCTAGCCCTACGCTGGAGCGGCCAGCGACACCACGAGGCTCGTACCTTGGGGATCTTGGCGCCAATGGTCTCGTAACGTTGCGGCCGCTTGAGAAAGTCAACGACCTCCTCTAGAAGATAAACATGTAAGGTCAGATGGCGGGTTGCCACTTCAAGGCGGGATCACCGAGCTCTTTCTTGGCCTTGTCAATGCCGGCGACGTCCGCGAACGAGATGCGCTGCTGCTTGGCGGCGTCGGCGTTGAGCTTGCCGCGTTTCATGCCGTCTTTGCCGATGCCAGGCTCGGACCCGCCCATCATACCTTGGAGCATGCGGTACGTCAAGCCCAAGTACCTGCGCTTGCAAGCATGAGGCAGACGACGCGCGAGGTCCATACTATACACGATGGGGATGACGGCGAGCAGCACGGGCAGCGCCTTCTTGCTCAGCGACGGCTGCATCGTCCCAAAGTCGATGCCGTGCTTGCACAGAATGTCGACAATGTACGACTGGTCCGTGCGCGGCGGTACAATGATCCTAGTTGATACCGTTGGGATCGGCGGCTCGTAGCTGGTATGTATTGGTACCGGTAGGACTGGACGCCGGACGCGAGGCTCTGCTTGAGCGTCACCTGCGCAGAATAGGATGAGGCCATGCGAGGCGAGGGTGGGCGACGTACCTGGAAGAACTCGCCCGCGAGCGAGACGTGTTGGATGTTGTTGCTCATCGCATCCTTGAGGAAGGTGCTAAAGAGGAGCGTCGGGCGCGGCCGCCACTGCGCCACGCGCCGGAGCATGCTCGCCATCGTGAAGACGGCCAGCAACGCGTATGTCTTCCAGCTCATGTACCGCGCCGACTTTTCCCAGAGCGCGCGAAGCATCGCGCCGACGTCGGCCATGCTGCCACCAAATGCTTTGTTGATTTGACCACTTGATAAACAACCTCCACAACGCGATAGGATCGCAACAACCTCTTTAGTTCGATATTTAACACTATTGCAGTTTATGATGCGTAAACGCATGGCATCGATACAGGAATAGTGTTGGTTTGACCTTGCATGCACAGCACCGAAGTGCAATTCTTTTCAGAGCGTAGTCGTTCCTTGCATCGCCAGTGCTGTGCACGGAGCAAGCGCAGGGCGATCGTGGCAAGATCGCTCTCCCCATGTGCTCCAAATAAGGCGTATTGGGTGTTATAACCAAACAGAAAGCGGCGGCAGCGGCGGCGAGCACGTGGCCGCGGAAGAGATGTTCAGCGCCGAGACCTTCAACAAGCTGTGTGCTCAAGGTGTGCGCGCAGATAGATGGTCTCCACTGTCCAGCGCAGCCGTAAAGCCACTTTAGAGAGAGATCACGGCCGCTGGCTGGCTCTGTCTGCCACGCCCGTCAAAGATCGCAGCGAGGTGCGCGGATTGGGTACAACGTCTACACAACGTTCATTTGATGCGCTACAATTTCATCCTATTGGTGCTTCAATGGCCTTTTTATCCAACCACAATACGGTACAGGATGCCACCTGGCGACACGGTGCACTCTAGCGTGCTGCGAAGACGGCCGACGTTCGCGGCGCCCTTGGCGACGAGCACCAATCTATCAATTCAATCTATCGTGACCTAAAGAATATCATCGCATTCATTGACGTCGCTCTCCAGCGCTGTAGGTAGCCGGCCATTCAGTTGGCGAATGGACGGACGAGGTTCGGCAATCATTGTCGTTATGCGTGGCCTTGTTGAAGATGACGGCGCGATGCTGGTGCAGTTACTCACGCCGCGAAGCGCGCCGAAGCACCAGTCGTGAATCCAGCGGTTGTGAGCGTCCATCTCCCTGACCTTGGCGCAGGCACCTCGGGCGCTCCATGAATACGCGATGCAAAGCACGACCCACAGCACTGCGACACGGCAGTGAGAGTACGAAGTGGCTACAGCACTTGGTGCATTGGCTCGTTCCCAAACCAATCAACGTGCCCCTTGGCATGCTGTAATGCAAGCCTGTGCAAATCAGGCGCAAGCGTGTGTCACAGCTGCTGTAGCTCGTTGGGCGGACAGCAGTCATTAGAACGATCGATGCGTCGGTGGCTGCTCGACGCCAACACGACGCTGGCCGTGGCTACGACGGAGCCGCCGCCGGTCGCCACGAGCAACGAAGCGAGCTCGTCGCCGAGCCAAGGCTCGAGCATCATGCTCACGTTGTGCATCGCCGGCGTCGTCTGGGTCGTTGTGCTTGTCGCCCTCGTCGTCTTTCGGCACAAGCGCAAGCAGAGCAAGCTCGAGAGACCGATGACGGTCAACATCGAGTGCAGCACGAATGGAACTGCGATCATGACCACGCTGCATCGGTTCCCTGTCCACACGCTCCCGTCGTCCGAGCGCAGCAACCCCATGAAGCGGTCGTCCCTCCCGCGCCTCCAGTCCTACGACGAGCCACTCGACTACCACACGGTAACGTTCATCGACAGCCCGTGCACGGACGCCAACTCGTCGATGCTCAACGTCACGTACCACGAGTCGATCATTCAGAGCGAGCCGTCGCCGCCGCTGCTTGAGGAGCTCCTGATCGAGGACGACGACTACCGGTCCGACGGCGAAGAAAGCAGCTCGGCCGCGTTCTACAGTCTTGCAGGAAAGGAGTCCATCGACAGCTATGCCGATCGCGTACATGGCACCGGGCGGTCCTGGGCGCAGTCGATTCAAAGCGCCGACAGCCAAGCGTCGTCCTCGGATGGCTATTTCACCATGTCCACGACGCAACTCCCGTCGCTATAGATGCTAGGCTCTCCATTAACTTAACTTGTTTATTATCCGCTGAGATTAGGGTCTTACCTCATGATCATGGGTCCACAGTGTGGAGCCAGTCATGCTCCCAGTCCGATAATACTGGTGCTAGTCGTCCATGCAGTGATTTAGTGGCCCATTATTTCTGAACTGCGCATGTCCACGGGTGGTGGGCGGCTGCTTCGAAGCTGTTGCCAGTGTGATCGCACAAGGGCAATCTCGCAAACCAAAAAAGATCGCCGGAGATGCGCAGGCAAGCCGACTGACCACCTTCGAAACGGCGTGGCATTGCGATTTTCAACGAGCTCATGGCACTGCGACGAGGTCTTGCCGAGGCACCGACACTACCGCTGTCTGTGGTGCTTGGCTGCGTCCTTGCGGGACTGCTCGTGCTCTTGGCATGCCTTGTGGGCTACTACTTGGGCTACTGCTTCCGGCGTCGCCCCGCCACGTCCAGCTTGCACAAGCCCCGCGAGAAGGCCCGGGATACGGAGCCGACTGTCATGAACAACGATGGCCGCGACTCGGTCTTCTTCATCCTTGGGGATACCAACACAGCGGCGATGGCGGGTGTCGTGACCGACACGGACTCGAGCGATGCCGATGCAGTCGCATGGACAAGCGAACTCCGCCTCACGAACCGGTCGACCGACTTCTTCTTTGCGCCGCCCAGTGGCCACGAGAGCATTGGCTGCAACGTTGCCGTCGACATCTACGGCTCGTCGTGGGGCAGCGCGTCGGGCCGCTCCAGCTACGCACTCTCCGAGGAGTCGGTCTTGTATCTCGAGAGCCGGCGGTCACTGGACGACTGCATCTCCGAGGGCACCGACAGCGCGTACTAGTCGAAGGTACCCCATTATTATTTAGTACTCGTACTTTAACTGCGTCAACAAAGAATAAACACCACCCTGTCACTCATCACACGTCCGTCGAACCTCGCCGCCTTCGTGGCCACAAAGAATTTGTTTCGATTCCTCCGCGGACACTGTATAAAGGGTACCCTTGTCACAGGCAAGACCAACTCGTCGTCGCGCTGGCTGGCAAAACAACCACCAGTGTGCACGTGGCTGCTACAGGTAAGGGCAATTTGTATAGCAGGACCGATGTCCCCGACAGGCCGCGAGCGCTAAGATCTTACTTGTCCTTGCGTCATCCTACGAACGCATTCGCGCAGACAGCCGATGGGCCGTAGCACTCAACCGCTGGATCAGACGCACAAGGAAGCTAAAGGCGGGGTCCATTCCATAGAAATACGAGTACGAGATTCTGTATTCGAAGTGACCTTCATCATCGACGACCACAAAGTAGCAAGACGTGAGGTAAGATATTTTACATCGCGTGCACCAATCCACGAACGTCATGGGATTTTTCTTGTCTTTGATTGGTCAAATAATAGCAAGACCAGCCTGTATGTCAACCAGGACGTGTCGCGCCACGACGGCGTTGCCTCGCCCCCATCACGAGCAATACAGTGTACCGTTGCAGTAATCACAATATGCATACAAACATCAAGATAATCACAAAACACTGCAAAGACCAAGCCAGGATTTGAGACGCGCATCGCTTGCCAGCTGGGGTGACAACACCCAGGTGACTACTTGTCCAGCCAGTGAGCGGGCCCGTGGACCAGGCGGCGCGTGAGTACGCGGCCACCTGGCGGCCTTTATTTCGGCGGCTCGTTTCTCAGCTGCCTTCGTGTGGTGGCGGCAGCGTCTTTGGCCAAATCCTATTTATCCAGAGCCAGTGCAACGCAAGCCATGGCGCGACGACCACGCGCAGCTCGCAGTAGTTTGAGCCTCCTCGTCCTCGCCCTGCTCTTGATGCTGCAGCTCACTGCCGCCTCGGACAGCAATCGCACAGAGGAAGCCGGTGTTCTCCACAGCGACACAATTGCACCACCGACGCCAACTTCGACCGCCGCACCGGCGATCCTGCACGTGACAGTCGCCGAGGGTAGCCCCAGTGGGCCATGGAACCTCACCAATATCTTGACGCTCTCGATTGGCTGCATCGTGCTCGTTGCGATTCTTGCCGTCGTCGCCGTCCGCGCAAGGAAAGGATCCCGTACCGAGAAGATCGAAGCCGGGCCGTACAGCTCGACATATGTGGGCGACGGGTCGCTCTACATCCTCGAAGACCTCTCGCCGTGCCCCGTCATTAGCTTGCGCCCGAGCGCCGCGCAAGAGTACCAGCCGCCGAGCCTTCGCGCGAAGCGCGGCCCACTCCCGACGGTGTCGCCGTTTCTGAGTACACAGCGCATGTACAACCCCGTGTCGCTCCAAGGCACCGTGTCGAACGCGCCGGCACCGTACGTCGTCGAGACACCGGTGCAGAATCCAAGCCTCTCGGAGAGCATTGCGTCGTACCTCGACAGCCCGTTCCGGTTCGCGTCCGAGTGCGAGAGCGAGAGCACGCCCCGTGAGAGCGACGAGTCCCTCGAGAACTACGATTCATCATTTGGCCCAAATGATACGAGCTTCACCAGCGTTAGTCGCTACCGCCTATAAACGCACCACGTATTAATGTATAGCCCTATTTTATTATGACGCGGTCTTGCCCATCGCCCCACCCAGCGCCATCTCTCTAGGTCTACGGACGGGCGGGGAGCGGCCCAAAATATGGCAGACAGGCCGACGAAGTGAACTCGAGGCGAGTAATCGCTTCGAGTTGCGATCCCCAGCACGACTACAGTAGCCAATGCAAACCAAGCAACTACACTTGACTTCGTCATGACAAATGCTCCCAGACGTGTCGCGGCGCCTCGCTCTTTACGCCGTATTTGCTGCTTGCACGGCGTTCTGCTGATTATTCCTAGTCAAAAATCGAATTCGTATGTGCTAATTCCTAGTCGAAATCTAATTCCTAGTCCCTCGTCAGCCCGTATCCGGTCGGGTTGCCGGTACGTATCCGGAGGGACCGAGTGCGCAGGAGAAGCGGAAACGAAGCGCCATGAGCAACCCCGACGCGACCGCGCTGTCGCCGAGCCCGACGGACGGAATCACATGCGTCCGCTTCAGCAGCGGCCATGAAGACCACCTCCTCGTGAGTTCCTGGGACTGCAGCGTCCGCGTGTACGACGTCCCAAACCACCGGCTGCGCTTGAAGATGGAGGTCGGGAGCCCCGTGCTCGCGACCTGCTACGGCGCCGACAAGAGCAGCGCGTTCAGCGGTGGCCTCGAGAGCTCGGTCCTGCAGCACAACCTCGAGCAGCCGTCCAACACGCACGCGACGCTCGGGTCGCACGCGAAAGCCGTGAGCTGCTTGCGCTACAGCACGGCGACGGGACTTGTCTTTTCTGGGTCATGGGACGCGACCGTCGCCGCCTGGGACGCCAAAGCCAACACCAAGACGCCATCGCTGCGCCTTCCGCAAGACGGCAAAGTGTACTCGATGTCGATGCACGAGCACAGCCTCGTCATCGGCACATCGGCCAAGCAAGTCGCTCTGTACGACATCCGCCGCCATACGTCGCCCATTGAGGTCCGCGACTCGCCGCTCAAGTACCAGATCCGCTGTGTTGAGATGATCCCGGACGGCCAAGGTAGACCCCCAAATATGATCCCAGATCCTTACTTCTGGGCAGGTTACGTCGTGACGACGACCGAAGGCCGCGTCGGCCTCGAGTACTTTGACGCGGCCAAGAAAGGGTATGCGTTCAAATGCCACCGACAAAAGGTGAGCGAGACCGACACGCTCGTATACCCTGTCAACTCGGTCGCGTTCCACCCGACGTTTGGCACGTTTGCGACGGGCGGCTGCGACGGCGTCGTCAACATTTGGGACGGCGACAACAAGAAGCGCATTTGCCAGCTCGCCAAGTTCAACGCGAGGTAGGCCCACCACGTCGTGGCTCTAATGACCATCTTGTCTGTGGCTAGTATCGCGTCCATGGCATTCAACCACGACGGGTCCAAGCTGGCCGTGGCCGCGTCCGACACGTACGAAGAAGGCCCGAAAGAGTACATGCGTCGCACCGCTTGTCCGAGTCTCATCCCACCCTCTCTCCTAGCAACCAAGAAGACACGGTGTACGTCCGGTCGATCGCAGAGGCCGAGGTCCGGCCCAAGACCAAAGAGGCATAAACCACTCAAATGCACGCTTGCACTACTGGTGTCGTCATATATAGACGGAAGCATAGCAATATCTAGTGGCCGAGCATGTACTGGGCCGGGCGAATCACGTACGCACTGCCGCTCTCACAGATACCGACGCCCAAGTCCTCGTTCGCGGACGCCGACACGATGTCAAGGCCGATCCAGCGCGAGTCGCCGCGGAAGCCGAGCCGGTGGTTTTGCTGCAAAATGGACGGCGAGTAGGCAGGCGCGGGTTCCTTGTGCTTTTGCTTCTTCTCTTTCGACGCGTCGTGCTCGCCGCACATGAGCTCGTTGTCGAGACCTGCGACGTAGCAGAGCGAGCTTTGCGACGGCGAAAAGGCCAAGTAGGCGATGTCGTACTTGAGCGGGCACCGCCACCTGCTCACACGATAAGAGATCGTAGGATAAGGTTGCTGTTGACGTACCGGTTCCGGAGCTTCCACATGCGCGTGTCGTAGATGTACGCCACCTTGTCCTCGCCCCCCATCGCGATCGAGTGGCCGTCGGGCGAGCACGCGATCGCAAACAAGCAGCCCTGCGACGGTGCACCGTCCCGGGCGACTCGCTTGTTGCTCTTGGCGTCCCAAATCGAAAACTAGTCGGTCCATAACGACGAGGAATGGCAACCACGAGATGTGCCTACTTGGTTGTATTCGGCGACGACGGCGGTCGATGCAAGCGTCGGCGAAAAGGTCAGCGCCGTCGGGTGCATCACGGTCGGCTGCACCCACGTCGGCTGCAGCGTCGTCGCATCAAAGAAGCGAAGCTCCTTGGCGAAGAAATGCGCCGTCGCCACCACCTACCATATGCATGTGAGTCTGTCTGTGGATGGAAATGGAGTGACGTACGCTGGATGACGCAGTGGGGTCCAAAGCAACGCCGGCCCAGCCCACCTCGGCGGTCGTCGACGCAGTGAGCGCATGGCCGTTGTACTTGTGCTGCTTTTGCTTCTTGCGCTGAGGACTGCCGACGTCGTCCGTCGAGCCCGTGCTCTTGGTGTACAAGAACGCAGCGCCTCGGGCATCGATTGACGCAATCAACGGGTCTACACCACCTTTACTATGAGCCGTGAACAGGGTGGGAACGCGGCTGATTTAGTACTCGGGTGCGAGTCGACGCGGGCAGTAATCGACTAGTTCAACACTGAGCACATTGGCACGACGATGCGAACGCTACCTGAATCTCGTACTTGTGCACGGGCGTTGTCATGAGCGCCTCGGACGCCATGGGCTTCATCTTGACAATGTTCGAGATGTTGGCCCCTTGCGTGCCCTGCGTCACCTCTGCCTGCTCGTCTGCGCTCAGCGCCAAGTTGACATGGCCTTCCAAGACGTCCTTGCCCGTCGCGTAGACGAATGAGAAGCGGTCCAGCGACGCGTTCGTGCAGCGGAAGCGCGTGGGCTGGACGCTCCCGGCCGAGAACTTGGCCTCGCTCAAGATCCCGCGCTGGAGCGTCGAGAGCTGCTCCGTCATGGCCTCGTCCTTCTTGAGCTGCTTGCGCTCATGGGCAGCGCGGCCCTTCTTGCCCTTGTACTCGATGACGACGTCGCCAATCTCGGCTTGCGGCGCCGTGGACATGGTGTCAAAATGGAACGCTTCAAATGCAAACCTCTCACATATAATAAAGTGAGTGGTATTGAAAGCCGACTGTTTTAAACATCTTGAAACCGACCAGCGCGACCAGCGACGGGCAATGGCGGATGCGGTGGTGTGTGGCAGTGGATGCAACGACTGTACATTGGTAGATCGCAGTCGCGTCGGCACCACCATGGCCATGAGCTTTTCGCCGTCGAGGCGTCCGGTGCCGTTCGGATACGAGCCCAGTGTAACCGTACTGTCCAGCTGTCTTAGACTGGAGAGGCCACGGGTCGTCGTAGCCTACTGCTCTGTTCGACAGCAGACAGCTGCCAAGACACTCGAGAAGGTGAACACCGTCACTACGCAGTTGGCCACTATGGGGAGTACTATTAGCTCAGCAGTAAAGACTTGACCACCGAACGGCAGCCCATCTCGCCGATCTTACGACGTCCCCTAATGACAGGAGCAGCCACACATTGTACTAGCCCATGTGGTACGCCTGCTGTGCGGTCCACGCAGTATTGTACACACTGCTTTCGAAAATTATATGCCATGGCTTGTGGCATACGTTCGCGCTTCAACTTGAGGTGTTGTAAACGTGTTTAAAACACTGCATACGTGCAAATGGGCAAACAGGTGCAGTATCAAGTTTGAGAGAATTTGGCAACATGGCGCTGCGGAAGCGCAACAGCAGCAGCGCGACGAACCGCGTTCGCGATCTCCCGCTCTTCGTGGAGAAGGCCAAGGGCGACAAGGACAAGATGGTCGTTAACCTGCAGGTCATCGTGCTGGACATGGATGACCTCAACGCCAACACGGCGGCCTACGCCTCGGTGCTCATCGCCGACGAGACCGGCGCTGCCTCGATGCTCGTGAAGCGGTCGCTGGCGCTTGGTCTCAACTGCGGCGACATCCTGAGCCTCGAGAATGCGCAGCTGACGTTTCACAACACGCACTTGGTCGTGAGCCTTAGCGCCGCCGGACGCATCGAGCGCATTGGCGAGTACACGATGATTTTCAAGGAGACGCCCAACGTCAGCAACTACCTCTACACCAAGGACGCGTCGGGGCTCATGGTACACCAACACCACATGAGATTCCTTGTCATATCGTGTTTCTAGGTCTTGGATCGTCGGCCAAAGCAGGTCCAGCGGTAACGCAGGCGAGGCCATGTAGTGAGCTGTACTACGATGCGACAACGACGACTTCATATATATTGCTCCATAAAGGCGTGAAGAGGGCTCCGTAGGCATGTAGATGGGCGCCATCAACAGGCATTGGTCGGCCGACAGGCGTGCGGCTAGGGGCTGCTGACCTCGCCACGCCTTTAAAGACGAGTATAGGATGCTAGACAAACCCACTGGCCTCCGACACACCGCCAGTGCGACTAGCTAGCTTCTGTACCGCCGATACGAGGGAACAAGACCGATATCGTCTTATTGCGCCAGCCCATGCCCGCTTCACTAGAAACCGCGTGGGCTTAATTTAGTCGTATGTACGGGTATGCACCTGCACCGCAGCGCCAGCAAGACGAGCTGCGCAAAAACATCCGTGCGCTCCAGCAAACGCTGCTCAAGGACGCTGTGCGCCAGCGCAACCAAGCCATGATGTGACATCGCGGATCACGGATCGCACTCATGGCGTCGTCGATAGGCAGCAGCTTGAGGCCATGCACGACGCAGCGCTGGCCAAGCAAAAGGCATCGCACATATCTGCGTTGAAACTTCGCACGCTGATTGAGTACAGTGTAGCAAGACAGCCAAGCAGACATGGCGCGGACGCTGGAGCAGGTCCTTGCCCAACAAAAGCACATGGCGACGCTCCTCGAGCAGTCCGTTCCATCACCCGAGACGAGCGACCCGAGCGCCGCGTCGCCCCCTCCTCGCCCCAACAAGGCAACGATGAGCAACGCACCAACACCGCCCGGCACCAAACGACCTGGCACCAAACCCGCGCCCACGTTTCGCGAAGCGACGGCGCGCGTGACGACAGCCGCCAAGCCCGTCACCGCCCCACGACTGCCTGTGGACGATCTGGCGTGGACCGAGCACGATACGAACGTAACGCGACTGTGCAAAGAACGGGCGTGTGACGATGTAGTTTGTAGCTGCTGGCTCTACCGCCCGACGATCCCGACGATGACGTACTCGCCACACCGCGGGTGTCTCCCGAAGCCAACCAGCCCGTTCGTCCACCGAGTAGGAATCCGCCGACGATTCTTACGCGGTCCCATTATGCTAGGCACCTGCGGACGTCCGGCGGCACAAGAAGCTGCTCGCGGTTCCGACCGACGACGTTGTGTTGCGGCCCAAGTGGCGTCAGGACGCCGACGCAGCGGCCGGCATCGTGTCGGCATTCGATGACGCGCCCATGCCCGTGCGCTCCCGATTGACGTCGTTGTCGATGACAAGTTGTACCTAGTTGCACACCATCTTTCGATCCGCGGTGGTCGCCGTGCAGTTTATGCTGCGGCTTCAACGGCTCGCTTTGGAGCGCCAGCAATCGCAGCAAGCCGACGAAGCCAGGGTGCGTGTGGCATGAGCGCGTACAAGATTGAGATTCAGGTTCAAAAAGGTGATGGCCAGTATGCTCGATGTCTACTCGGAAGCGATTCGGTCGTGGCTGGCCAAAGACATGCGTCTCCCGATTCTCTCGATTCTGCAAGTACAAAATTGATCATATCCCTAAAGACGCTGTTCTCGAACGCGCAGTAGGACCCGACGCTCGTGCTATCGATGCGCCCTCCTGCGACGAGCTTGAAGAAGAAATTCGGCGGTCTCTTGGCTCGCAAGCAAGCCAGCGCACCCGAGAGCCTCCTCCAGCTCAAAGTATATGACAATAGCTTCCAGTGTCGAAAACATGAAAACGTCAACAGGTCCGCATCAAGGGTCTCGTCGACGCGCTTGTCAAGACGACTGAGAAGCCGATTCCCAAGGCCATTCTGCAGTTCCTCGCCAAGCTCACGTGCGATGGTGCCTACTTCCCACCAAACGTCGGCCACAAATCGCACGGCTGCAGAGAATCATGCATTTGTCCTAGTACTTGTCGCCCCCCGAGCGAACGGGACTCGAGTTCAACGCACTCGGCGCGACGCGCAACATGGCGACCGACACTCGCTTTGACCTCGTGACGATCGGCTTTGTCTTTGGACGAGTCGTCGTGCCGTACGTTGTGCTCCAGCCGTGGACGAGCGGCATCGGCGGCCGCGCGCGTCCCCCTAAGCAAGTCGAAGCCAACCTCAAGCTCGTCGCCACGAGCCTTTACGTGCTCTGCATGCGCTTGGTGCCACTGCTGCCAGAGCCAGGTCTCGTGCTCGATGAATCGGAGAGAGCCGAGAACGAGACGATATTGACACACGCGAGCAGTTTGCTGCCAAAAGATGTCTTGCCGCTCAGCGACCCCGCGTTCGATGCGTTCTGTGCCACCCAAGCGGTGCGTTTTGGTAAGGTGCGGTGGACGGCTCATGCGATCTTAGGACCGAATGCGTGCGTGGCTGGAAGCTTTGCGAAGGGTGGTGGCGACACCGACCACTCTTGGGTCTACCGCAAGCACAACGAGCCTCGGGCAAGACGCGTCCCGAGGGCAGCTGTAGCATTTCTTTAAACCCGTGTCCGCAACACAACAATAAAAAAGTCATTTGTCTCCAACATACGAAATCAAAAGTCATTTGGCCTTTGCCAAGTCGCCCACGTGAGACGCGTTCGACACGGTGTTTAGCGTGCATTCTTTTCGTAATCGCTTCGCTTTGCAGCCGAAGCCGAAGCTTGGAAGGCCTTTGCCAAGCGTGTCGTCATGGGCCTCACTCGCGCCCACATGGATGGCGGCACAATTGCGAGCCGTTTGGGCCAAATCGACAACGAGTTGGTGAGCCAGGTGAGGGCAATCACGATCGTAGCGTGTGCACTTGCGATAGTGCACGGCAGCGCGGTAGGATAATGTGCGTGAGAGCGTTATGTACCAGCGTAGCAAGAACATTCAGTAATGATGGGTCCTGCGCGATAGTGCGGGACCTTGAAGCAACGCTAGAAGGCCCTTATGCCCTATCTAAACCACAAAAGTCGACCACCCTCTGCCCCAAGAAAACACGAGTTTCGTCGATGTTGGTGAATTTGGCCTTTTGAGCCGTACGACTCGTTCCGTTTGCGCAATTTTAGTGCTTTGGATCGAAAGGACGCTTTTTCTTGTGCACCAGCTCGGCGTTTTCTTTGACACAATGTACAAGTTGTCCAAGACATTTCAAAGAAATCACTCACAAATCTTTAATCTTAAGTCAAGAGGCACAGAGGAAAGCAGGCACCCCGTAGGACGCTCGAACATGACGCCGCTTGTGTCCAGCACAAAGCCCTTGGTGACGCGCCATGCGCATGCAGCCTTCGACGGTACATTCGTTGTTGTGCCGATGGACGTCGCAGTA